TTGCCCAACATAACAAACTTTAAGTACTGATGTAGTTTTTCGGGGTTAACCTGGCATGGCGTGTGTTGTATGCATTTTGTACAATTAACAAATTGACTATTTCAAATAACCTGGACAATGATGAGTCCCCAAGCTAGTTACAGGGTGTGTGTGTGTGTGTGTATACACACACACATCTTGCATTTCTCTCTCTGTTTGGATACATCTTTACTGACTATAGAACTACAACCCCCATCATCCTCTGCCATTGTCTCCCAAACCCCATCAGTATTTAAAGGTCGTCATGATGGGTCTATGTGGCACATTTGATTCAGATTCATCTCTGGATATGTGTGGACTATAACTCCCATCTTCCCAGGTCAAACTCCTCCAATGGTTAAAGTTGATCATTCTGGGTCTGTGTGTCACGTTTTGTTCAGATTCATTGTCACTGGGGTTTACCGTACTCTCTGGATACAATTCCCATCATCCTGGGCAATCTTCCCCAAACTCCTCCAATAATTAAAGTTGGTCACAATGGGTCTGTGTGCCAATTTTGGTCCAGATCCATTGTCACTGGGGTTCAGAGGGCTCTCTGGATATGTATGGACTACAACTCCCATTATCCTGGGCCAAACCTTTTCAGTGGTTAAAGTTGGTCATGATGGGTCTGAGTGCCAGGTTTGGTCCAGATCCATTGAGGTTCACAGTGCTCTCTGGATATGTGTGGACTACAATTCCCATCATCCGGGGTCAATCTAGATGCAAGAGACATCCTGGGGAAAAAACCTACCAATGTAGATAGACAGTCAAATAGAAACATACCTAACTGATAAACAGATATAGCCAGGGAAGCCCATGAACGTGGTATCCCAGGTTCAAGTTGACGAAGGTGCTATATTTGGCTCCTGGGGTCTATTCTTAGCCCCAAAGGGAGGGACGGAAAGTCCCGAGACCAATAGGCAAAGAGTTGCTTCCACCTGACCCTCCATCTCCTTTTTCCCAGTCTCCATTCCTGGCACTTCGCTCCGTAGGAACTTCAGGAAAAAGGATGGCTCTTCTGGGAAAGGAACCCAAACCTTGGCTTGAAATTTGTTGTGGACCGAAGAAGAGGAAAGGAGGAGGAGCTCAATCCATCAGAGTAAACACAGGCCTCTGTGAGAGGGAAGAGGCATGGAAATAGGCCTTCTTCAGGTTCCTGGGAAATCCTCTCAAGTATTGATCTACCTACCTATCTACATTATTTATCTGTATATCTACCTCTCTACCCTGTGTGTGTGTGTGTCTGTCTGTGTGTCTGTCTATCTATTTTTTCATCAAATGGTATCTATCTATCTATCTATCTATCTATCTATCTATCTATCTATCTATCCATCCATCCATCCATCCATCCATCCATCCTTCTATCCCTCTATCTGTCCATCCATCTATCCATCTATCCTTCTGTCTATCTGTCTGTTTCTCCATCTATCCATCCATCCATCCATCCATCCATCCATCCATCCATCTATCCGTTCTTCCATCCATCCATCTCTCTCCCTCTCTCTCTCTCTATCCACCTCCCTGCCTACCTACCTACCTACCTACCCTGTATCTATCTGATCATCCATCCATCCACCAACCCATCCATTCCTCTATCCATCTATCTATTCCTCTATCCATCTGTCCATCCATCCACCCACCTACCTAACTGTCCATCCGTCCATCTATCTGCCTTTCTATCATCTATCTATCTATCTATCTATCTATCTATCTATCTATCTAGTATATACATACCTACCAAACATATCTGTATATCTACCTATCTACCCTGTATCCATCCATCTATCTCTCTAGCCGTCCGCCCATCCAGCCACCCATCCATTTATCTATCTATCCTTCTATCCATCTGTCTGCCTGCCTGCCTGCCTGCCTGCCTCTCCATTAATCAATCCATTTTTCTATCATCTACCTACCTACATTATCGATCTGTATATCTACCTATCTACCCTGTATCTATCTGTCTGTCCACCCATCCATTCTGTCTGTCTATCTGTCCGTCTATCTATCTGTCTGCCTGTCTCTCCATCCATCTATCCATCTTTCTATCATCTATCTTCCTTATCTCTCTCTGTCTGTCCATCTCTCCACCCCTCTATCTACCTGCACATGGATCTATCTGTCTCTATCTGTCTATCTATCTATCTATCTATCTATCTATCTATCTATCTATCTATCTATCTAATCTCTGTTTATCTAACTACCTACCCACCAACCTACCTATGTACCTATTACCTTATAATGTCTGTGTATCCATCTATTTATCTACTTATCTATTTGTCTTTTTATTTACCTATCTACCCTGTCTATCTATTTCTCAACCTATCCATCTACCTATCTACTTTATCCGTTTTTACAGAGAAAATGTGGGGTATAAATAATAATAGTAATCATCATCTATATATCTTATCTATTTATCCGTCCATCTACCTTATCGATCTCTCTCTTTCTTTACCTACCTTATCTATTTATTTGAACCCGTCTCCCCTGGTCACCAAAGTTGATCATATGGACTTGTTATGTGTGGAATTGGGCTTCCATTGGAGGATTGTAAGAGTTAAAAACTCTCATTTATAGGGTGCCAAAAACAAACAAGTCCTTGTGACTCAAACCATTTGGAGTGGGTTGAGAACGATAAAATACTCTATTATTATTATTATTATTATTATTATTATTATTATTATTATTATTACCTGTATGGACTTGAGTCTCGTGCGCCATCAAATCTAATGCAGCTGAAGCAGCTTCCCCTTTGGCTTTGGCTCAGCACTAAGGTTACTGTATGACGCAAATCTAATGCCAATTGCAGGGCTGCCACCGAAGGTGTTGCAACCTGCACTTGCAAAGGTCACAGCAGAGGCCCAGCACCCCATTTCGGGTTCAAAAGGAGGGGGCGAAGGTCGAGGTGTCAATGCACTACAGGGTTGACGTTGTTCAAAGCAACATTCGTCTTCTGAGGCCACGAGATTAACGTCAACCAACAGTGTGATGCAGCAGCAAGAAAGGCCCATGCGATGCTAGGTTGATGTTTGGACATTTGGTTTGTTATTAATTCAGAAGTCATTCTGCTTATGCTCAGAGCCACCTCTCCAGTCTCCTATTAATTCAGAAGGCACTATCCGCATGCTCAGAAGCACCATTCATTTCCCTATTAATTCAGAAGACACTCTGCTTATGCTCAGAGGCACTCTTGGTCTCCCTATTAATTCAGAAGACACTCTGCTTATGATCAGAGGCACTCTTGGTCTCCCTATTAATTCAGAAGGCGGTTAGATTATGCTCAGAGGCATCCTCTGTTTATTTATTCAGAAGGCACTCAGAGGCATCCTCTGTTTCTCTATTTCAGAAGACACTCTGCTTATGCTCAGAGGCACTCTCAGACTATTAAGACACTCTGCACATGCTCAGAGGCACTATCAATCTCCCTGTAAATTCAGAAGGCTGCTTATGCTCAGAGCCACTCTCATTTCCCTATTCAGAAAGTATTTGCCTATACTCAGAGGCACTCTCGGTCTCCCTATTAATTCAGAAGACACTCTTGTTATGCTCAGTGGCATTCGCAGTCTATTAATTTAGAAGGCACTCTGCTTATGCTCAGAGGCACTCTGCATTTCCCTATTAATTAGGAGGCACTCTGAGCATGCTCAGAGGCACTCTCAGTTTTCCTATTAAGTCAGCATACGCTCTACTTAGGCTCAGAGGCACCCTCAATCTCCCTATTAATTCAGAAGGCACTCTGCACATGCATTCTGTTACCTTAGTTCAGAGGGCACTCTGTGCATGCTCAGAGGCACAGTCAATTTCTCTATTAATTCAAAAGACACTCTGCTTATGCTCAAAGGCACTCTTGGTCTCCCTATTAATTCAGAAGACACTCTGAATATGCTCAGAGGCACCCTCCATTTCCCTATTAATTCAGAAGGCAGTTAGATTATGCTGAGAAGCACCCTCTGTTTACCTATTCAGAAGGCGCTCTGTTTCTTTATTAATTCAGAAGACACTCTGCTTATGTTCAGAGGCACTCTCAGACTAGTAAGACACTCTGCTTATGCTCAAAGGCACTCTCAGACTAGTAAGACACTCTGCTTATGCTCAAAGACACTCTCAGACTAGTAAGACACTCTGCTTATGCTCAGAGACACTCTCAGACTAATAAGACACTCTGCTTATGCTCAGAGGCACTCTCAGACTAGTAAGACACTCTGCTTATGCTCAGAGCATTCTCCTGTTCCCAGTTTATTAAGAAGACACTCTACACTTGCTCAGAGGCACTATCAATCTCCCTGTAAATTCAGAAGGCTGCTTATGCTCAGAGGCATTCTCCATTTCCCTATTAATTAGGAGGCACTCTGAGCATGCTCAGAGGCACTCTCAGTTTTCCTACTAAGTCAGCATACACTCTACTTAGGCTCAGAGGCACCCTCAATCTCCCTATTAATTCAGAAGGCACTCTGCACATGCATTCTGTTACCTTAGTTCAGAGGGCACTCTGTGCATGCTCAGAGGCACTGTCAATTTCTCTATTAATTCAAAAGACACTCTGCTTATGCTCAGAGGCACTGTCAACTTCCCTATTAATTCAGAGGGCACTCTGTACGTGTTCAGAGCCACTCTAATTTCCCTATTCAGAAAGTACTTTGCTTATACTCAGAGGCACTCTCAGTCTCCCTATTAATTCAGAATTATGCTGAGAGGCGTTCGCATTCTATTAATTTAGAAGGCACTCTGCTTATGCTCAGAGGCACCCTCAATTTCCCTGTTTAGTCAGAAGGCAGTCTGCGCATGCTCACTTGCTCTGTTTTCTTCGCACTCGGAGAATTTTTCCCCACCCCCTTTTGGGCAGCCTGCGCGTGCTCAGTAGCGCTGTTGCCCAAGGCGGAGGGGGCGTGGCCGTGAGGGGGGCGTTCCCGGCTCAGCTGACTTCAGAGGGGGCGTGGCCTCGCTCTCTATATATAGCCCACCCCCGCCGCTCCGCCGCAGATCCGCCCGCTTCCTGCGTCCTTTCGGAGGGCCCTGCGTTCCATCTGCAGCCGCGGTGAGGCCTGCGGGGAAATGCCTTGAAGTGCATGACTTGAAAGGGGTTTTTAATGCAATCTAGTGTAATAATCCGACTTAATCTGTAGGAGTTGTTGTTGCTTTGCAACTGTGTTGCCATAAAGGAATAAAAAAAGGCCAAAGGAGGTGGTTGGGTTTCTTCTGTGATCAAAGGAATCCATGTAAACAAATAAAGGATAATCGTTAATGCATTAACTCTCTAGAAACATACATGTAAATAGATTAATAGAATAAATAGCAATAATAAACAATACTATAATATAAAAAGAGTAAAATATTTACTGTGATATAGTGAAAAATAAGTGTAATTTAAATAAATATAATAATAATCTAGTATTCTATATTATAAACGTTAATAAATCCATGTAAATATAAGAAATGTAATTTAAATAAATATAAGTGAAATAATAATATAATATATGTTATGCTATCTGGTATTATAGTATTATATTATTTTATATTATATATATAAAATAGTATATTAATATATTATATTAATATTATGCATATTTATAATATTGTGCATGTAACTAAATAAATGTAAACATGTAATATAGTGAAAAAATAAATGTAATTTAAATAAAAGAATGAACTATCAGTAATCAATATTATATTGTTAATATTATATTTTCTGTTATTATATTAATCAGTATTGATATTATGTTGTTATTATCAATATTATAATTTTTTAATAAATGTAAATACATAATTATAGTAGGACTACATATTATACAATAAATAGACTAAAATCTTTACAATAATATAGTAAAAATGAATGTAATTCATTAAATATTACAAGAATGAACTGTTATTAATCTATATTACAAAGGTTAATAAATGTAAATTTATAATATAGTAAAAATGTAATTGAAAAAAAGAGTGAACTATTATTAATCAATATAATGAACTTAAATAAATGTAAATATGTAATATATTAAAAAACTAATGTAATTCAAATAAATATTATAAGAATGAACTATTATAAACGCTAATAAATAAAGGTAATTATAGCAGTAATAAATACAATAAATGAGTAAAATCTTTACAATAATATAGTAAAAAATAAATGTAACCTAATAAAGATAAGCATAAACGATTATAAATTCATATTATAAAAGTAAATAAATAAATGTAAATATATCATTATAGCAGTAAGTTCATAATAACTAGAAATATTGTACTATCATAAAAATAAATGTCAACATTAATGTAATGAGTTAAAATAGATATTTACAACAATTTAATAAATATTATATATATTAAATACATGAAAACATGTAAATATATCATAACAGGAATTACAATAAAAATACGGTAAATAAAATCAATAATATTATATGAAAATCAATAATAAAAATATATATTTGCAAAAGGAGGGAGAAATGGCATGAATATGAATTTATATGTATTTATATTTTGGTATAATATTTGTCATTACTATGATTATTATATTTATTTGTGTACATTTATTTCTAATTATATTTATAGTAATTATATATCATATCGATAGCCTGCACATAAAATAATGATGATGATAATAATAGTAATAATAATTTCAGTATTATAATAGTAATAATAGGTTGCTGTGAGTTTTCTGGGCTGTCTGGCCATGTTCCAGAAGCATTCTCTCCTGATGTTTTGCCCACATCTATGGCAGGCATCCTCAAAGGTTGTGAGGCCTGTTGGAAACTAGGCAAGTGACATTTGTGTATCTCTGGAATAATGCCCAGGGTGGGAGAAAGAATTCTTGTCTGTTGGAGGGAAGTGTGAATGTTGCAATTGGCCACCTTGATTAGCATTGAATAATAATATTTTATTTCTCCCTTACCTCTTATTTTCCAGGATCTCCACCTGCCGATCTGGATTAGATAAGGATTCCCTTTCTTTCCTTTCCTTTCTGTTTTTCCTTCCTTCCCTTCTTTCTTCCTTCTTTTTCTTTCTTTCTTGTTCCCTCCTTCCTCTCTTTCTCAAGATGGTGCAGAAGAAAACTGAGCTCCAGGGGTTCCATCGTTCCTTCAAGGTAGGTTCCCTTTATAATATTATATAAGATAATAACACAATATTATAAACATAGAACAATATTATGACACTACATTATAACAATGTAATACTAATATAATAATAGCATAACAATATAATATAATAATGTAGAATAATATAAAAAAAATCTATCTATACACATAATAAAAGTGAAAATATGTATGTATGTGGCTGGGGTGTCAACTTACACAGACAAGTCCAGCCTCCACAAACAGCTATAGCTCTCACTTCTCAGGAGAACCAGTGACCCTCCCTCCAATAACATTGCAGGTTATAGTGAGCACCATGAACATGTCCAAGAGCCCTGCCAATGTCCTTCACAAAAGCACCATACTGCCCACCACCCAAGTGAAGGCTTTAATAAAGGGACAATTTCATCCTAGATTTTCTGTGATTCTTCCACCACAGACATCCCAGTGTTTCTGACTCTCTCAGTTGAAGTGGAATTTGCATGATCCCGCCCACTGCCTCTTCCTTAACCCTTTTCTATTATTTTCTATGACACACAGCAAACAGAGGAATTGATTAGCAACTGAACATACTAAGGTTTGGGGAGAATTCTCCATGATTTTTAGGTCCTGGGATGTATAGTTCACCTGCAATCAAAGAGCACTCAGAACTCCAGCAATGATGGACCTGGACCTAATTTGGCATGCGGAACCCCCATGACCCACAAAACATATTGGAGGGATTTAGAGGGAATTGTAGTTCACCTACATCCAGAGCACACTATGAACCCAAACAATGATGGAGCTGGACCAAACTAGGCAAACATACCTGATATGTTGAAATTTGATTACTGGAGGGGTTTGGGGGGAACTGACCTTCCTTTCTGGGAGTTGTAGTTCACCCCAAACCAGAGAGCACACTGAACCCCTCTGATGAGGCATCTAGAGCAAAGTTACCCAACATAAGTACTGGTGGAATTTTTTGGAGGTTAACCTGTCATGATATGAGCTGTAGTTCACCCACAATCTTAGGCATTTTGTACAATTAAAAATAACCTTGGCAATGGCAGGTCCCCAAGCTAGTATAATAAAAAAAATAGTAATGTATATTGCTATTAGAATATAATATCATGTAATTAATGTATTTTAATATATGATAATATAATACTGTAATATAATAATGTAATAATAATATAAAATTAACAATATGATAATAAAATAAAAGTACAATATTCTAATATAATATACTTTAATTTAATGCCAAGTGTTTAACTTTGTGGTTTTGTAACTGTATTCTCAATTTGCATCTGACACAATAAATAAAATAAACTATCTTGCTATAATAACAATATATAATAACAACATAATAATAAAATGTAAATATATGCTATAATAATACTTAATACTAGAGTAAGCATAATTTTTTTTGTCGTGTCAGGAGCGACTTGAGAAACTGCAAGTTGCTTCTGGTGTGAGAATTGGCCATCTGCAAGGACGTTGCCCAGGGGACGCCCGGATGATTTGATGTTTTTATCATCCTTGTGGGAGATTTCTCTCATGTTCCCACATGAGGAGCTGGAGTTGATAGAGGGAGCTCATCCGCCTCTCCCCAGATTCGAACCTGTGACCTGTCGGTCTTCAGTCCTGCCGGCACGGGTTTAACCCACTGCGCCACATGCTTATTATTATTATTGTTATTATTAAGCATAATAATAATATAACAATCATGATATAGGTATACTATAAAATATAATATATAATACACTAATATAATGTAATATAATGAAATTATTATATTATTAATGATATGTTATAATTTATATATTATGTGATCATTATATTATAGAATGCCATCATAGTAATGATATAATAACAGCATAACAATATAATTGCACAGAATTAGGTGTATCGGGAATCATCACCTTTGTTGTTCAAAAGTTATACAAAGCTATCCTTCCATATCCATCCTCCATGGCTTGGAAATATTCCCAAAAAAGCAAACTATTATAATATAAATACTATATCATAGTATAATAATGGGAGGGGGGTCCAAGCTCTGACATCTCATTATTATTTCTCTCCTACTTTATGTGTCTCAAAAAGAAGCTCAAGGCCTTTCATGGTGTCCTTTGCACCCCTTTCACAGCTGGGGAAAACCGAGGCTCTTTGCAAAATCGGCCTGTAATTAAGACCTTCCCAGGCCTTTCCTTTGCTAACACAGGCCTTAATTAGCCCAAATTGGCCTCCTTGGCCGACCGGTTGAACCAGTTGCTTGCGGCACTTAAAGCAAGCCTTTTGCTTGCCATGCGCATTTTGCACTGGTTTGGAGTGACTTTGTTAATAATTCGATAAAATTACTTACAACAGAAGCTAGATTGTTAAAATGTTTATTGTTCAAAAAGTCCAATATTTTTATTATATACCACTAATATAGTATATATTGGTACATAATATATTGATGTATTGCTACTACTAGTAATATAAAAGTAATCTAAGTAATAATAATAATAATAATAATGATAATATGCTATACAACTACTACTGTTAATATAAGATCCCTTTTCTCCAGGGCCAGAATCCCTTTGAACTGGAATTCTCCCAATCGAATCACTTGCAGTCCGTCTTTGACTTTGAATGTCCCTCTCGGCCCGGTAAGAATCCCGGAATTCTGTATGTAAACAGTATGCATATGTATAATGGAATAGAATCTATAGTATTAGATTTCAGTCTAGTTATAGGTGGCTCAGTGCTGTGCAACTATAGTAGTAGCAGTTTGGCAGAGAAGGGGGAAGGACTTTGGGGAACTACAGCTCTCAGCAGGAAGGAGCTTGGGAAACTATAACTCCCGACAGAAAGGACCTTTGGGAACTACATCTCCTGGCAGAAAGGGCCTTTGGAAACTACAACACCCAGCAGAAAGAACCTTAGGAAAGTACATCTCCCAGCATAATGACCTTAGGAAAATACAGCTCCCATCAGAAAGGACCTTGGAGAACTATAACTCCCAGCAGAAAGGACCTTGGGGAACTATATCTCCCACCAGAAAGGAGCTTGGGGAACTACAGTACCCAACATAAATGACTTTGGGAAACTAACACTCCGAGTAGAAGGACTTTGGGAAACTATGTTTCCCATCAGAAATGACTTTAGGAAATTACATCTCCCAGCAGAAAGGACCTTGGGGAACTGCAACTCTCAGCAGACAGGACCTTGGGGGATCTATATCTCTCAGCAAAAAGGGAAGTGGAAATCCCAAGAAAAAAAGTCCTTTAGGAAACTACAACTCCCAGAAAAAAAGGACCTTGGGAAATATCAAGTCCCACCAAAAAAAGGACCTTCCAGAAACCACAACTACCAGCCAGAAAGACTTTGGAAACTATAAACCTCAAGGGAAAAAAAAAACAGACCCAGGGAGACACCAGCCCGCAAGGCTTGGGGAAAGGACAACTCCCATGACCTCTTTGCATTCAACCATGGCAGGTTCTGAATTGCGAATAGTTTTTATCCCGTGGGTCTGGTAGTTTCAGAAGGGCTTGGGTGAGTCGGTCCCGGTCCAGGGTTCGAATGCTGATGGGAGTTTGTGTTTCATTGTGTTATTGATGTTTTGCATTGTATTTTGTCTGCACAGCCATGCCTGCCAGCGACCCCATTGACATCCCTGACGCCAAGAAGAGGAACAAGAAGAAGAAGCGCTGCCGGGCCACAGACAGCTTTTCAGGGAGGTTCGAAGGTCAGGGGCCCTGTCCGTTTGTATTGTTGTTTTACTGTTATTACTACCTTGCTTTTGAATGAAGGGAATGGCATTCATTCATGGTCTTCTTCTGCCTTTCAGATGTCTATCAGCTACAAGAAGAAGTCCTTGGCGAAGGGGCGCACGCCAAAGTCCAGGCCTGTATGAACCTCATCACCAACAAAGAGTATGCTGTGAAGGTATGGAAAGAGATGGAATATATATATATATATAATACAGTAACAATGGCTTCCTTTAAATGAACTTGATCTTGCTTCTCGTGACTGTGTTTCCACCTTAATCTTAAAGTCAATACAGGCATCAGATAACAATCCCTAGATAGATTTTGCCCTCTGACTTAAATTCCTAGAATCTTGGATTTTGGTCCTCTTATTTTCCTCTTTTTTTGTTCCTTTTTTTTTTTTTTTTTTTGAGTGCTGCCGTCTTACACTGTCTGGCCAAATGGCAGCAGAATTCTGCTTGGCAAATGGCATCCACTGGCTTTGTTTTTCTTCTTGACCTTAATCCATCTTGGCAGATAAACCGGCCTTTCCTGTGTTTGCCAAATGATCCTTTCTATCTATATATTGCCACCTTGTGGCTGCACCTGGGCACTGCATATATGCAGATCAAAAGACCAAGAGCTAATCCTTTCTATTTCTGTACTGTGCTCTTGTGGTTTCACCTGAGCATTACATCCATAGAAACTTAAAGACGAGGAGCTCACCCTTTCTCTGTCTATACTGCCCTCTTGTCGTTGTACCTGAGCATTACATATATACTGACCTAAAGACCAGGAGCTAATCCTTTCTATCGCTATGCTGACCTCTTGTGGCTGCGGCTAGGCATTGCAGACATATCTAGAGTTCAGGAGCGAATTCCTTCTATCTCTATACTGCCCTCTTGTGATTGTACCTGAGCATTATATCCATACAAACATAAAGACCAGGAGCAAATCCTTTATCTCTATACTGCCCTCTTGTGATTGAGCTGTGCTTTTCATCCCAGTCCAATACCCATTTAACCACTTAATTTTGTCCCCATCTTACAGATCATCGAAAAACGTCTGGGCCACATCCGGAGCCGGGTTTTCCGAGAAGTGGAGATGTTATACCAGTGCCAAGGACATCGGTATGGCTTGAAATTATATTATATTGCTTTCTATTATTATAGTCATTATATTATAGTAATAAAATAGCTATAATATAATTTCTATATTTTACATATGATATAATATATATAATTTAATAATATAATTATTATAATTATTTTATAGCAACATAAACAATATAATTTCTATTGTTTTATTACTACATTACTATATATATATAATATATATATATGATTCTATGATTGATATAATTATTATTTAATAGTAATATAGGAACAATAGAATATAACTATATATGCAATATAATATGTGATTAATATATATTTGAGTATTAGAATATAAATATTAGAATATAAATTATATATTATCTATTTTAATACTATATTGCATTAGTTATTGTATTACTATGTACACATTTATTATATTACAATTATTATATTACTATATGTTATTGCTATTATATCTGCGCAGAAGATTTGTTATTATTTCTTATTATATCTCCACAGAAGGGTCCTCTGTGTGTCCATTTAAGGGGTCTAGCTGGGTTTTTCAGGGGGAAAGGGCTGAAACAGGTCCAAATCCATCTCTTTCTGTTTCAGGAACATTTTGGAGCTGATCGAGTTCTTTGAAGAGGAGGACCGTTTCTACCTCGTGTTTGAGAAGATGAGAGGAGGCAAGTAGGCCCCTGAAAGGACTTACAATTATTATTTCTGCCCTTCTTTGGGAGGGATGATGGGATTGGTAAGTCCGGAAAATGGGAAAACTTCCTAGAGCTGTCGCTAGCCACATTTGACTTGAACGAATCCCCTTTCTGGCCTTTTCCAGGCTCCATCTTGACGCACATCCATCGCCGGCGCCATTTCAACGAACTGGAGGCCAGCGGGGTGGTGCGTGATATCGCCAGCGCCCTGCATTTCCTGCACAACAAAGGCAAGTGGGTGGGACTTCATCACCCTCCGTATAGCTCCGCATTCTCCCTTCATATTGTAATATTGTGCGTTTTTCCTCCTCACCTCAGGAATCGCGCACCGAGATCTGAAACCGGAAAATATTCTCTGTGAGAGTCCCAGTCAGGTGAGGAGCTTTGGCTTTAAATGCCCTACAAATAGAAGGGTTTGAATGGCCACCTTTCGGGTTCATCACCCCTATATCTGTCTCTCTCTTAAAGGTTTCCCCGGTGAAGATCTGTGACTTTGACTTGGGGAGTGGGATCCAGCTCAATGGGGACTGCTCCCCCATCTCCACCCCGGAGCTGCTCACCCCGGTAAGGCCTCCACCCTATTGGGGGGAGACAGACCCTCTAACGGGAAGGTCTTCTCTGCATTGGCCCTCATGCCTTTTTTGCGTTTCCTCTCCTTTTTTCCCTCCTTCCTTTTTTCCCTTCCCTGCTTCCTTCTTTCCCACTTTCCCTCCTTTTCTCCTCTTCTCACTTCCATTTCTCCCTCCTTCTCTCCCCCTTCCCCATTCTCCCCCCTTCCTCTTTTGTTCTTTCTTTCCCCCTCTTCTCCCTTCCCTTTCTCCTTCCTTCCTTTTCTCCTCCCCCTGCAGTGTGGCTCTGCGGAGTACATGGCCCCGGAGGTAGTGGAGGCCTTCAGCGAGGAGGCCTCCATTTATGACAAGCGCTGCGACCTCTGGAGCCTGGGGGTCATCCTCTATATCCTGCTCAGCGGGTACCCGCCCTTCGTGGGACACTGCGGCGCCGACTGTGGGTGGGACCGAGGAGAGGCCTGCCCCGCCTGCCAGGTGTGCCATTGGGAAGGAAGGAGGAAGAGAGAAGGGGAGGGAGGGAGAGAAGGGGAGGGAGGGAGAAAAGGAACGAGAAAGGGAGAGAAGAAAGGAATGTAGGAAGGAAGGAAGGACCAAAGTAGAGAGGGAGGAAGTCTGGGTATTCACCACCCTTCTCTGTCTCTTCCTCCAGAACACGTTGTTTGAGAGCATCCAGGAAGGGAAGTATGAATTCCCAGACAAGGACTGGGGCCACATCTCCTTTGGGGCCAAAGATCTCATTTCAAAGCTCCTGGTCAGAGATGCCAAGAAGCGCCTGAGCGCCAGTGAAGTCCTCAAACACCCCTGGGTGCAAGGGGTGAGTGAGTGGGGGGTGATGGGAATTGCTGTTATTATTACTGAATGACAACTCCCATTGATAATGGGAATTGCAACCCAACATTATTATTTTACTGACACAAAAGCACAGTATGTCACAGCAAATGGGATCTATATGCTGGATTTCGTATCACAAAATCATGTCAAACACTTGCCAAGCGTCTAGGACTGTGTGATGTATTTTTGAATGATGTGCGCAGATCCAAGTAAGGTGGCGATTTGCAGTTGACAGATCGTTATTTTGTTGATGTTTATTGTTTCCAAATGCCAGCTGAGATCTTTTGGCACGGCACCCAGTTTGCCAATAACCACTGGGACCACCTGTACTGGTTTATGCCAGAGCCTTTGCAATTCGATTTTGAGGTCTTGATAGCGGCTGAGTTTTTCCTGTTGTTTTTCCTCAATGTGGCTGTCACCCGGTATGGCGACATCAATAATCCAGACTTCTTTCTTTTCCACAATCGTGATGTCTGGTGTATTGTGTTCCAAAACATCATCATCATTATTATTATTATTATTATTATTATTATTATTATTAAGCCTAATATTTTAAAATCAGACATTGTTGTTGTTATTACTATTTTGAAGCCTGCCATTTTGAAAACCAACATTATTATTTTTCAGTGTGCTCCCGATAACACCCTTCCAACTCCTATCATCCTACAAAGGTGAGTGGGACTTGTTGCTATCTTTCATTGTCTAGCTTTTCACTGGGGAATGCTGTGGAGTTAGTCCTGCCTGGAAGAAGGGGACTGGACTGGATTGGCCCTCTGTCAGGAGGGATTGGATGGTGTCTTCCTGCCTGGCAGAAAGGGATCTGACTAGATGGTCATCTGTCGGGAGGGTTTTAATTCTGGCCTCTTCTATGCTGCCCTATACAATCCACATTACCTGCTTTGAAACTGGATTATATGGCAGTGTAAACTCTTATACTCCAGTTCAAAGCAGATACTGCGATTATCTGCTTTGATAATCTGAATTATATGGCAACGTAGAAAGGGTCTAAGTCTTCCTGCCTGGGGGTTGGACTGCATGGCCTTCTGTCAGGAGGGATTGAATGTTGTCTTCCTGCCTGTCATAAGGGGATCAGATTGGATGGTCATCTGTCTGGGAGGATTTTAATTGTGTTTTCCTATCTGAAAAATGGGGTTGGACTAGATGGCCATCTGTCGGGTTTTGATTGTATGTTCCTGCTTGGAAGAAAGAGGGGTTGGGCTGTATAGTGCTCTGTCGGGAGAGAATGAATGTGGTCTGCCTGGGATAAGGGGATCAGATTGGGTGGCCATCTGTCGGGAGGGATTGGGTGGTATCTTCCTGTCTGGAATAATGGGGTCAGACTAGATGGCCATCCGTCGGGAGGGTTTTGCTTGTGTCTTCCTGTCTGACAGAAAAGGGGGGTTGGGCTGTATGGCCCTCTGTTGGGAAGGATTGGATGGCATCTTCCTCATGAAAGGGGGTTGCATGGGATGGCCTTCCTTGGGGAGGGCTCGGGTGGGCTCTTTTCTGCCTCTGCGCTCACTTCTTCTGTCCTCCCTTCTTCCGCATTGGCAGGAAGAGCAGTGCCAAAGAGCTGACCTCCTTCGCTGCAGAGGCCATGGCCGTCAACCGGCAGCTGATGCAGGATGAAGAGGCAGCTGCAGAGGAGGCGGCCGCCTTCCCTCCCATCATCATCAAGGCTACCTCACGCTCCATGCAGCTCTCCCCGCCGTCCGAGTCCAAGCTGGCCAAGCGGCGGCAAAAGGCCTCAGCTTCGAGGGTGGCTTCGAGAGCGGAGCCCCACCAGCACCTGGTCTCCCCCTTGGTCCTGGTGGGAGACCTCCTGTGACCCTTCTGCAACCAGCCTTTCTTTCCTTCCCCCATTTCCTCCTTCCATGCTCCCTTTTTTTTCTGGAAGGCAGGGGGAAGGAAGCAATTCAAATGGGCAGGTTTCCAAGGTTCCTTCTTGTGGTAAACACTGGCTTAATTCTCTCGTTTCCTTTCCTTTTTTTATTTCGCAATTTTTTCAACATGTAAGCTATCTTTTACTTTAAAACAAAAAAAGAGAAGAATTTAAATGGGATTATTATTATTTTTACGCTTCTCTCGAAATCAACCAAAGCATCTCTTTCCCCTCTTTTGTCGAAGGAAGGTTTAAAACAGATGGGCAAAGTGTGGACGGTGGGTGATTTTGCATTAGAGTGCAATTGCATCAAAAATCTGTAATTCCATTTTCAAAGAGTGCAGTTGCATTTTTAAAAATGCAAAAAGATGGGTTGATCATTTACTTCCCCTCCCCAGATAGAGGGTAGGTCTCAGCAGAGGTCTTTTGGCAAACAGGAAGTGATCTCTGTTCACTTTCTGTTCAAGATGTTCTGCTGCCCTCTAGTGGAAATTTAGGGGTGTGGCAATCCTCTCACCGCCACATTTGCCCATGCCGGGTTTAAATTATGGTCTATTCCTCTGCTGTGAAAAAGTGGGACATCCCACTCAAAATGTACCATATGCTAATATTTGGGTCGAATTCTTCCCCTTTTTCTTGTTGATTTCTCCCCTTCATGTTTATATCTGCTTGTATCTGAAAGTTACCGTTCCTCAAGGGTTTCCTTGGAGGGTCATTTTGACCTTGTTTTTCTACCCATTTTCTGTTTTTCTTTTCTCTCCTGAAGCGATGACGACGGGAGCCCTCTCCACACTGCACAGTTATAGCACTATCGATCCACTTTTAACTGCCATGGTTGTGGCATCCTGGGATGCATAGTTCAGGATGGTCATGAGAATTAACATCCTAATGCTTCCCTGGATGACAAATCCATAACCAGCCGCCAGAAAGTGGGATTGTACCGTTATAATCGTCCTGTGTGGAAGGGTCGCAATGACCGGCATCAAGGGTGTTCGGGGTCACGGTGATCCACAAAGCTCTATGTTTCCTACGCTGGTTTTCTCTAAAATTGAATTGATGTTTTAAGCCAAAAATTGGGGGCGACAGACTTGAGTCATTGTGAAGGTTGTCATTCTCCCACCATTGTTTAATGTTTGGTTTCACCAATTTGAGCACTTTTTTCTGGATCTGTGATAGCCAATCGGGCGCAAGAATCCCATTATCCCATCCTTGGGTCTGAACAGGGACATTGAGTTTTGTCTTGGGGAAAAGTAGGTCCGGTCTTGATTTAAATAAAAAAACAACGCACTTTTGCAATACAAGTATTTGCTCAGGGGTATCCCAGATGTTGTCGGACTATTCACTCCCAACATCCTGCACATTGCCTAAGGAGAGTCGGAACCTGACAACGTGAGCAGTTTCAAATAGATTCCTTATGTGTTTTATCGGGGAACGGATCCCATGAGATGATGTTCTCTCGAAAACCAAATGCGGGACTTGGTTTGGTGGAGTTGTGGGTTTACAGAGTAGTCGGAAATTCTTTCAAGGTGATGCGAAGGCTAGTTCTGTTGCATGTTTGGCTTCTCATTTCGGAAATTGAGAACCCGGGCTTCTCGTTTCTCCAGAAAGTTGAGAACCCAGTTCTAGTATCGTTTCTCCTTTTAAGTGCTTTATTATTCTTTTGTGTATGCATAAGCTACGAAGCCAAGCATCTCTCTGTGCTTTCTCTAGAGTAAGTTTCCCCAGAGCCTGCCTGTGTAGCATTTCAAATCTAAGGTGTTCCGGCATTGATCCGGGAATCTTGCTGCATTTCTTGGGCTTCTCTTTTGAGCCGCTTTGGAGACGATACATGGATGCCAAACAGGTTTAGGACACAACTTTCCAACTTGAGGAACTTTCCTATAAGTGCATGGATTGTGAAATGAGCTTCATTGAGAGTGCAAGTCTTTCTGCACATCAACGAATTCACACTGAAGAGAAACCCTATAAGTTGCAGAATGTGCTTCTCCCAGAGTGAAAAATCGGCATCTAGATTTTTTAACAGGATCCTATTTTAATTCTAGGATTTGCTCTTAAGGAGGAGTTCTGGCTTTTTGACCTGGCCAGATAATTCAGGGGCTAAACCTCTTTGCACATCTTGGATTGCTGTATCTTTTGTGATTCTGAGAACCCTTCTTTTTTGCTGAAAAGATGTACTATGCAATAGGTGTTTGGCGCAGGCTGCATCACTGAAAAGAGGGCTCTTTTTTTTTGGTGTGTTGGGTGTATAATCCATTTTGTGATTCGATATAGATTGTAGTCTTATGCGAAAAAAATACTTGAACTAAATGCAGTGAGGCGGGGATGTCTCTATCAGGAAAGTCCTCATAAGGAAGCAGGTTAGAGCTTTCAACTTGGTTTCGTTTTTATTCTTTTTTGGCCGAGAAGTAAAGGTGCCTGAGGCCATCCGCTTCCCAAGAAAGCTTGGGGAAAATCTTGTTGGAAAAATATAGATATCTGGTCTTTGTTGCGCATCCTTCAAAATCTCAGTGCTTGAATGCTGAAGGATTAGCTCTGGTCTCTAAGGATGTATATATGCAGTGTTCAGAGGCAGCCACAAGAGGGCAGTGTAGTGATAGAAAGGATTAGCTTCTGTGTTGTTTGTTTTTTCAGGCTATATGGCCATGTTCTAGAGGCATTATCTCCTGACATTTCGCCTGCATCTATGGCAAGCATCCTCAGAGGTTGTGAAGTCACAACCTCTGAGGATGCTTGCCATAGATGCAGGCAAAACTTCAGGAGAGAATGCCTCTAGAACATGGCCATATAGCCTGAAAAAACCTACAACAACACAGTGATTCCAGCCATGAAAGCCTTCAACAATAGATTAGCTTCTGGCCTCTAGTTATGTCTGTATGCAATGCTCAGAGGCAACCACAAGAGGGCAGTCTATAGAAATGATTACCTACTGGCCTCTGGTATGTATGCAGCGCTCAGATTCAAACACAGGAGGGCAGTATAGAGATAGAAAGGATTCGCTCCTAGGCTCTTGGTCTGTATGGATGCTGTGCTCAGTAAAGAGAAAGGATTAGCTTCTAGTCTTCTTAGGTCTGTATGCAGTGCTCAGAGGCAACCACAAGAAGGCAGTCTATAGATAAAAAGGATTAGCTCCTGGAAGTAAAAATTGCATCCTTTAGAAAAGCTGCAGTATGGGAGTTTGTAGGTTTGGGATCTAGTTCAAAGTGATTCTTAAGGCATATTGACAGGTCGTATTCGGAGCATGGTTTCGGGAGTGAAGAAGGTCCGCGATATGTGGCCAAGGATCGTTACAGGATTTCCTCGTCTCTCATTGTCTTTGCGGCCATATTTTTTAAGAAAAAGGATGTGTTATTTCCTTCCCGAAGGGCCAGCATCAAGGTGTGCGATCCTCCGATGACACACTGCTTAGGTTTGCTATGTATAGACACACCACGTTTCTTGTTTTCGATCGGCATGAAGCAACTGGCTGAAAGTGCTTCGTCTGTTTCCGATCTTCCTTCTCGGAGAAGGGGTTTATCTCAGGATTATTTTGAGATGGGAGCCCAGTGCTTTTTATAGACAGGAACAAAAAGGCCTTAGAAGTTGAGTCGAAGTAACGTCGTGCCAGGATTACAGCCCCCAAAAGGTCAATGAACGTGGCTTCTAATAAAACAATACACAGCATTTTTGAGTTTCAGATCCCGTGTAGAAAAGGTCTCAAATCATCTCTTGTTTAGACCAAATTAGGATTTTGGGGCTCAAAATGGAGTGAGAGCATAACAAAATGTCTTTGCACTACACATCCCAGCATCCCCAGTAGCACAGAAAAAGATGGGATTGTCCAAAAAATGTAGCGCTTTCTAGAATCAGAGAGAGATTGCTGATGAATAGGATTCCCCCTTTTTGTTAGGAAAACAGCCTGAAACATCCCATTGAAAGCAATGGGATTATCTGACTTTATTTTCATGTCAGGGGATGGTTCCGCCTTTGCTTTCAAACCCTCGATTTGCAGTATTTAGCCTTATATTCCCAAGACATGAATCCCAAGACATTGCCTGATTTTCTTTCCTTAGCTATTGACCTCTATAGAGATTAAACCTGCTTTATTGTTTTTTCCAGGTATCTTCTGTATCTAAACAGATAAAAAACCTTCTGGGATGTGGGCTTAGCAAACCCCTTTTATTGGAGAATTGGGTGGAAACTCCTTGAATAATTCTCTTTGCCTCCTTCAAGATCTTTAGTTTTGCTTTTCCTTTCAACTCTGCAAAGATTAACCCTTTGCCAAAGTATTGTTTCCCTTTTACTTTCTTTGTATAATAACATTGTTGGAAATATATTTTTTGTTTTGTTTTTATACCTCAATTATTACCTGCAAATCTGAGGATAGGTTTGGGAGAAGCAACGTCTCCGTTTCCTTGATTTAACGTCTATTTAGAACAGGTTAGTACTATTTGACTGTGAAATGTTTCCTTTTGTTTTCTTTCGTTTAAAAGAAAATACGGAGATTTTTTCTGGCGTTATCAAAAGGACTGCCGAAGGGTTTTTTTGTGGGGTTTCTTTCTTTAACGCAGAAATCATCTTTAATGATCTCTGGAGTTATTAAAGCAGAAGAATCTTCCAGGAGAAGAGTAGTTTGAAAAATGAGACCAGAGAAGGAAAAAAAAAAAAAAAGAACAATAAAATAAAAATGAAAAAAAAAACTTTAAAAAAAGACAAAAATGAAACAAAAAAACCAAGCACTTTATTATGTACCAGGTGAACTGATACAGCGCGATGGGACTTTTCTTCCCTTTGTAACACCTTGTCGATGCCAGAATTTTTTTGTATTCTGTTTTGTAAGAATTTAATAAATGCATTGAAAAACACTGAGTTGTGTAATTAGTTTTGAGTTGAGAAATGTGAACAAGAAGCAATGTTCAGAGGCAACCACAAGGAAGCATTCTATAGATAGAAAGGATTTTCTACTGGTTTATGGATGCACTGCTCTGGTGCAATCACAAGGGGGAATGCAGTCATCGCTAATAGTCAACATGGATTTATCAAAAACAAGTCATGCCAGACTAATCAGATCTCCTTTTTTTGAATAGAGTTACAAGCTGGGTAGATGTAGGGAACACCATGGATGTCGCATATCTGGATTTCAGTAAGGCCTTCAACAAGGTCCCCCATGACCTAGTGGCAAACAAACTAGTCAAATGTCGCCTAGGCAAAGCTATGGCTAGGTGGATCTGTAATTGGTTAAGCAAACAAGCCCAGAGGGTGATTCTCCCCAATGCTTCGTCTTGGAAAGGAGTGGAGTGCCATCAGCTGGCTTCCATCCTGGGCCCGGTCCTGCTCAGATTAATTACTTAGATGAAGGGTGAGAAGGCATGATCATAAAGTTTGCAGATGGGACCAAATTGGGAAAGATAGCTTACCCCAGAAGACAGGAGCAGAAGTCAAAATGATCTGAACAGATTAGAGATATGGGTCAAAACTCACAAAATGAAGTTGAACGGGGACAAATGCAAGATACTCCACTTAGGCAGGAAAAATGAAATGCAAAGATACAGAATGGGGGACGATGCCTGGCTTGATCGCAGGATGTGTGGAAATGATCTTGGAGTCCTCGTTGACCGGAAGGTGAACATGAGCCAACAATGTCATGTGGCAGTTAAAAAAGCCAATTGGATTTTGGCCTGCATAAATAGTGTCTAGATCCAAGAAAGTCATGCTACCCCTCTCTTCTGCCTTGGTCAGATCACACCTGGAAACACACTGTGTCCATTTCTGGGCACCACAATTCAAGGGTGATGTTGACTCTAGGCTGGAATGTGTCCAGAGGAGGGTGACTCAAAGAATCAAGGGTCTGGAGAACAAGCCCTATGAGGAGAGGCTTAAGGAGCTGGGCATGTTTAGCCTGCAGAAGAGAAGACTGAGAGGAGACATGATGGCCATGTATAAATATGTGAGGAGGTTATAGGGAGGAGGAAGCAAGCTTGTTTTCTGCTGCCCTAGAAACTAGGACGCGGGGCAATGGCTTCAAACTACAGGAAAGAAAGGAGATTCCACCTGAATATTACGAAGAACTTCCTAACCATGAAAGCTGTTCAGCAACAGAGTGTGGTGGAAGCTTTTAAATAAAGGCTGGATGGCCATCTGTTGGGGGTACTTTGAATGTGATTTTCCTGCTTGGCATGGGGTTGGACTAGATGGCCCACAATGTCTCTTACAACTGTATGATTCTATAGGTATGTATGGATGCAGTGTTCAGATGCAACCACAAGAGGACAGTATAAAGATAGAAAGGATTCGCTACTGGTCTATAGCTGTATGAATGCAGTGCTCGGATGCTGCCACAAGAGGGAATTATACAAATAGAAAGGATTCGCTACTGGTCTATAGATATGTATGGATGTAGTGCTCAAGTGCAACCACAAGAAGGCAGAATAAAGATAGAAAGGATTAGCTATTAATCTATAGCTATATATGGATGCAGTGCTCAGACACAGCCACAAGAGAACAGAATAGAGATAGAAAGGATTAGCTACTGGTCTCTAGGTATGAACACGGGGGTCTTTTATGGGTAGAAAAAAGTGGGCTTTAAAATATAATCTACCTGTGGGGTGTTTTAAAATGGGGGGGGGTCTTATGGGTTAAAAAGTCAGGCTTTCAAATGGAGGCTGATGAAGGCTTTTAAATATTTAAAAGTGGGTTCTAAACAGGGGCACTTTTACATTGGGCTTTAAAATGGGGCTGTTTTGTGGGTTGAAAAAAGGTGGGCCTTCAAATGGAGGTTTGGATGGCTTTTATACATTGAAAGTGGGTTCAAAAATTGAGGCTTTTATGGTTTTGAAAGGGGGGATCTTTAAAATGGTAGCTTAGCTGAAGAGTTGTTTTTTTGGTTTTTTTTTAAATGAGATTCAATAAGGAGGCCTTCTTTGAGGGGAGGCGTAGCGAAATGTTTGTTATAGGTTAAAGTTTTAATATATATGTCAGTGTTGTAATAGGGCCTACATTGAAGAGTTGATGCAAGAACAGCCATTATGTTATTCTTAGAGGGCAGTAACAGAAAGAGAAGAGTTAATTTGCATAAAGGGTTCCGATTGGTCCTATGCAAACGAGTAGGTGCAGAAGCTGGAACAGGAATTTAAAAGTTGACAGTTGGGAAATTACTGCTCAAGCAGGGAGCTTTGAGACAGTAGAACAGAAGCTCTCCGAAGCTCTAGGGCTCTTACTGCCTATTACAGGGAAAACCAGCTGATCCCTAACCCATCTAAAACACAGACATGTGCCTTTCATCTAACGAACAGACAAGCATCTCGAGCTCTGAAGATCACCTGGGAAGGAATCCCACTGGAGCATTGCAGCACACCCAAATACCTGGGAGTCACTCTGGACCGTGCTCTTACCTACAAGAAGCACTGCCTGAACATCAAGCAAAAAGTGGGTGCTAGAAACAATATCATACGAAAGCTGACTGGCACAACCTGGGGATCACAACCAGACACAGTGAAGACATCTGCCCTTGCGCTGTGCTACTCTGCTGCTGAGTATGCATGCCCAGTGTGGAACACATCTCACCACACTAAAACAGTGGATGTGGCTCTTAATGAGACATGCCGCATTATCACGGGGTGTCTGCGCCCTACACCACTGGAGAAATTACACTGCTTAGCCGGTATTGCACCACCTGACATCCGCCGGGAAGTAGCAGCCAATAGTGAAAGGACCAAGGCTGAGACATCTCCAGCTCATCCCCTGTTTGGGTATCAGCCAACACGTCAAATCTAGACTTAAATCTAGACATAAGTCTATGTCTAGACTTAAATCTAGACATAGTTTTCTAAGATCTCGCTGGAACACCTCAGCAAGCGAGAGTCCAAAAGTGGCAGGCTCAAACCCAGAACCTCAATTCATGGGTGATACCAAATGAGAGACTCCCCCCTGGGCACACAGAAGACTGGGCGACTTGGAAGGCGCTGAACAGACTGCGCTCTGGCACCACGAGATGCAGAGCCAACCTTCAGAAATGGGGCTACAAAGTGGAATCCTCGACATGCGAGTGTGGAGAAGGAGCAAACCACTGACCACCTGCTGCAATGCAACCTGAGCCCTGCCACATGCACAACAGAGGACCTTCTTGCAGCAACACCAGAAGCACTCCAAGTGGCCAGATACCGGTCAAAGGACATTTAATCAACTACCAAACTCACAAATTTTGTATTTTGTCTGTCTGTTAGAAATGTAATATAATGGACTGGTTGCTCTGACACGACAAATAAATAAATAAATAAAAATAAGTTGGCAAATGGCAGTTGAGGCTTGAGTCAGTTTGAGTGCAGAAGCCAGAGTAGGAAGCTAGCAAAATGTTGATGTTTGAGTACCTTTGAAGTAGACTGTTATGAAAAGAAAACTGTAACGAAACCAAGTTATGTGCAACTAAGAAACAGTGATATAAATGTAACCAACAAGCATTTGTACAAGAAGCTATAAATAAACAATGTTACTGTGAAGTTTGTCTGAAGCCTGTAATGCAAAGCACTGCACAAGTTTTCTTAAAGAGTCACAGAAGAGCCACAGCTAATTACAAAAAGAGAATCTATGTAGGTTCCTGGAAAGAGTGGGGACAGTAAAGGGATTTAAAAGGAAAAGATTTTCTCCTCCTTAATCGGAAAATAGATGCTTTTGAGCTGTGGTGCTGGAGGAAAGTGCTGAGAGTGCCTTGGACTGCGAGAAGATCCAACCAGTCCATCCTCCAGGAAATAAAGCCCGACTGCTCATTGGAGGGAAGGATACTAGAGACAAAGTTGAAGTACTTTGGCCACATCATGAGGAGACAGCAAAGCCTGGAGAAGACAATTATGCTGGGGAAGGTGGAAGGTAAAAGGAAGAGGGGCCGACCAACGGCAAGATGGATGGATGGCATCCTTGAAGTGACTGGACTGACCTTGAAGGAGCTGGGGGTGGTGACGGCTGACAGGGAGCTCTGGCGTGGGCTGGTCCATGAGGTCACGAAGAGTTGGAGACGACTGAACGAATGAACAACAACATAGTCGGAAAATACTACATGGGAAGAAGGCATCCCAAGAGGCTTTAAATTGAGGGGCGAGGGCTTGTTTGCACTGAAAAAAAGGCAGGCCTTCAAACAGAGCCCTACCTGATGGTGGGCTTTGAATGTCAAAATTGGGTTAAAAAATATGGGCTTTAAACTAGTGGACCCCTCAATTAAGTGGGTTCCATTTTGGAACCTACTTTTAATGTTTAAAGGCCCCTATCAGGTAGGTCTCCATTTTAAAGCTCACCATTTCTAAACTAATTTCAAATGGCTTACCTGAGGGGGGCCTTTAAACATTAACAGTGGTTTCTAAAATGGAGGCCTTATGAAGGGAAGGCTTTCAAACAGAGGCCTACCTGATGGGTGCCTTTAAACATTAAAAGCATCTAAAATTGAGTCCTGCTTACAAACTGGGGTTCAAAGCGTATCTGTCCGAACGGATCTCCCTCTACGTCTCACCTCGGAGTTTAAGATCTTCTGGGGAGGCCCTGCTCTCGGCCCCGCCTCTATCACAAGTGAGATTGGCGGGGACGAGGAGCAGGGCCTTCTCCGTGGTGGCCCCTCACCTATGGAACTCACTCCCTGGGGAAATTAGATCAGCGACATCCCTCCTTTCCTTTAGAAGGAAATTAAAAACATGGATTTGGGACCAGGCGTTTGGGCAATCTGGCAGATAAATAAAGGACTACGACGACGGACAGGAATAGACAATGTGGAATGAAGTATGGACTCTGAGTTGGCGAACGCTGAGCATGAGATTGGTTATTGATTGTGATACATATTGTTTTAATTGTTATAATTGTTTAACCGCCGTTTTTATACATTTTGTATTATTGTGTAGGCATCGAATTGTGCCTGTTTGTAAGTCGCCCTGAGTCCCCCCTCGGGGGTTGAGAAGGGCGGGGTAGAAGTACACGAAATAAATAAATAAATAAATAAATAAATAAAATGGCAGGCTTTGAAAACAGAAGTATTTAAACGCTTGTTTTTTTTGACGGCCAATTCTCTGGTGTAAGAGAATTGGCCATCTGCAAGAACGTTGCCCAGGAGACGGCCGGATGTTTTGATGTTTTATCATCCTTGTGGGAGGCTTCTCACATGTCCCTGCAATGGGAAGCTGGAGCTGATAGAGGGAGCTCATCTGCGCTCTCCCCGGATTCGAACCTGCAAACACTCCAATTAAAATGACCCCCGCAATCTGTCTTAGGTAGGCCTCCATTTTAAATGTTAGCAATGAGGTCTGAAATGGGAGGCCTTGAGAGGGCGCTTTAAAACTGGGATTAAAAATGGAAGCCTCCCTGGGAGGAGCTTTTAAATGATAACACCCTAATTTAAACGACCCCCACATCCTCCATTTTAAACGTTAGCAATGGGTTCTAAAATGGGAGGTCTTACTTGAGAAGGGACTTTAAAACTGGGATTCAATAGAGGCCTCCCTCTAATATTCTAATTAAAACTTGTGCACCAGTTGTGCCCGTACCTTGGGAAGTCGGATCTGGTCACGGTGGTCCACACTCTTGTTACATCCCGAATAGATTACTGCAACGCGCTCTACGTGGGGTTGCCTTTGAAGACTGTTCGGAAACTTCAACTAGTCCAACGGGCGGCGGCCAGATTACTCACCGGAGTGTCATACAGGGAGCATACCACCCCCCTCCTATGTCAGCTCCACTGGCTGCCGATCCAGTTCCGAGCACAATTCAAAGTGCTGGTCTTGACCTATAAAACTCTATACGGCACCGGCCCAGCGTACCTGTCCGAACGTATCTCCTTCTACGTCCCACCTCGGAGTTTAAGATCTGCTGAGGGGGCCCTGCTCTCGCCCCCTCCTTTATCTCAAGCGAGACTGGTGGGGACGAGGGACAGGGCCTTCTCGGTGGTGGTAGGCTTCCATTTAAAACCTTCCCCACAGCTAGGCCTCTATTAAAAACCTTCCTCAGGTAGGGCTCCATTTTAAAACAGTCACCTCAGACAGGCCTCAAAGCCTTCCTCAGGTTGGCCTCCATTTTAAACCTTCCCCTCAGACAGGCCTCAAAGCCCTCTTCAGGCAGGTCTCCGTTCTAAACCTTCCCCTCAGATAGGCCTTGAAGCCTTCCTGAAGTAGGCCTCCATTTAATAATAATAAAAAAACTTTATTTGTACCCCGCTACCATCTCCCCAAGGAACTTGGTGCAGTTTACATGAGGCCAAGCCCACAATACATCAATAAACAAAACATCAATAAAACCAATGGCCGGGTCAAATGTAATAGATTAAAATTAAAAAATAATGCTGACGTGAACAAAGTAGGATATAACTGGGATAGGATTTTCAGAGAGAATTGAGGGAACGCAGTCAGTCCTAAATCAGTGGTAAAGTGCATTTGAGGGCATATTGCTGAGAGTTTTTCTTATTCTGGGAAGGCACACTGGAACAACCACAGTTTCAAGCTCCTCCTAAAGACTGCCAGAGTTGGGGCATGTCTGATGTCCCTGGGAAGTGAGTTCCAGAGTCGGGGGGCCACCACCGAGAAGGCCCTCTCCCTCGTCCCCACCAATCGCGCCTGCGAAAGAGGTGGGAGCATGAGCAGGGCCTCTCCAGATGATCGAAGAGATCGTGTGGGTTTGTACACAGAATTGCGGTCACGCAGGTAGGTGGGTCCCAAACCGTTTAAAGTCTCCTCAGGTAGGCCTCCATTCTAAAACTTATTATTAACTTTATTTGTACCCCGCTAGCATCTCCCGAAGGACTCGATGCGGCTTACAAAGGCCAAGGCCTCAATACACAGCATAACAATACAAAACCTAAAGCAAATTAAAAACAATTAAAGCAATATTAAACAACAAAACAACAAGCAATAAACAATACACCAAAACACAATAAAACTGGGCCGGGCCAGAGTAATGGGTACAGGATTAAAAGTGCTGATGTGACAGGTGGTATATAAGGATTATAGGGTAAGTGCAGTGTGCAGTATGCAGCAATCTTAGTTCTAATAAAGTGCTTCTGGGACTTGGTATTGGAGATTTCCTATTCTGGGAAGGCACATCGGAACAGCCAGGTCTTCAAGTTCTTTCTAAAGACTGCCAATGTAGGGGCCTGTCTAAGATCTTTGGGGAGGGTGTTCCAGAGTTGAGGGGCCACCACAGAAAAGGCCCTGTCTCGTGACCCCACCAAACGCGCTTGCGACGCAGGCGGGATCACAAGCAGGGCCTCTCCAGATGAACGCAGTGAACGCGTGGGTTCGTAAACGGAGATGCGGTCACGCAGGTAGGATGGTCCCAAACCGTTCAGGGCTTTGTAGGTAAGCACCTGCACCTTAAATTGGGCTCGGAAAATAAGCAGCAGCCAGTGGAGCTCCTTGAATAGAAGGGTTGACCTCTCTCTGTAAGGGGCACCAGTTAACATCCTGGCCACTGCCCGTTGGACCAGTTGAAATTTCCGAGCCGTTTTCAAGGGCAGCCCCATGTAGAGCGCATTACAGTAGTCCAATCTGGAGGTGATGAAGGCATGGACTACCCTGGCCAGATCTGACGAGGTACGGTCGCAGCTGGCGCACGAGTCTTAATTATGAAAAAGCCCTCTTGGCCACCGCCGATGCCTGAGCTTCAAGCGTAAGTGATGAATCCAGGAGGACAACTTTCCCCTTAGAAAGGCTTTGATGTTGATGTTTGATGTGTTGGAGGAAAGTTCTGAGAGTGCCTTGGACTGCGAGAAGATCCAACCAGTCCATCCTCCAGGAAATAAAGCCCGACTGCTCATTGGAGGGAAGGATGCTAGAGACAAAGTTGAAGTACTTTGGCCACATCATGAGGAGACAGCAAAGCCTGGAGAAGACAATTATGCTGGGGAAGGTGGAAGGTAAAAGGAAGAGGGGCCGACCAACGGCAAGATGGATGGATGGCATCCTTGAAGTGACTGGACTGACCTTGAAGGAGCTGGGGGTGGTGACGGCTGACAGGGAGCTCTGGCGTGGGCTGGTCCATGAGGTCACGAAGAGTCGGAGACGACTGAACGAATGAACAACAACAAAAGGCTTTGATGCCCTCCTTGGGTAGGTCTCTATTTAAAACCTTCCTATCAGGTAGGCCTTGAAGCCTTCCTAAGGTAGGCCTCCATTGTAAACCTTCCCCTCAGACAGGCCTTGGAAGCCTCCTCAGGTGGGCCACAATTTAAAGTCTCCTCAGGTAGGCCTCTATTCTAAAACTTATTATTAAGGACTCAATACACAGCATAACAATACAAAACCTAAAGCAAATTAAAAACAATTAAAGCAACATTAAACAACAAAACAACAAGCAATAAACAATACACCAAAACACAATAAAACTGGGCTGGGCCAGAGTAATGGGTACAGAATTAAAAGTGCTGACGTGACAGGTGGTATATAAGGATTATTATTTTTTTCGTGTCAGGAGGAACCGCTCCTGTTGTGAGAGAATTGGCCGTCTGCAAGGACGTTGCCCAGGGGACACCTGGATGATTTTTTTTAATATAAGGATTATAGGGTAAGTGCAGTGTGCGGCAATCTTAGTTCTAATGAATTGCTTCTGGGACTTGGTATTGGAGATTTCCTATTCTGGGAAGGCATACCGGAACAGCCAGGTCTTCAAGTTCTTTCTAAAGACTGCCAATGTAGGGGCCTGTCTAAGATCTTTAGGGAGGGTGTTCCAGAGTCGGGGGCCACCACAGAAAAGGCCCTGTCTCATGACCCCACCAAACGTGCTTGCGACTCAGGCAGGATCACGAGCAGGGCCTCTCCAGATGAACGCAGTGAACGCGTGGGTTTGTAAACGGAGATGCGGTCACGCAGGTAGGATGGTCCCAAACCGTTCAGGGCTTTGTAGATAAGCACGTGCACATTAAATTGGGCTCGGAAAATAAACGGCAGCCAGTGGAGGTTCTTGAACAGGAGGGTTGACCTCTCTTTATAAGGGGTACCAGTTAACATCCTGGCCGTTGCCCGTTGGACCAGTTGAAATTTCCGGGCCGTTTTCAAGGGCAGCCCCACTTAGAGCGCATTGTTGTTCATTCGTTCAGTCGTCTCCGACTCTTCGTGACCTCATGGACCAGCCCACGCCAGAGCTCCCTGTCGGCCGTCACCACTCCCAGCTCCATCAAGGTCAGTCCAGTCACTTCAAGGATGCCATCCATCCATCTTGCCCTTGGTCGGCCCCTCTTCCTTTTGCCTTCCACTTTCCCCAATCTAGAGGTGACCAAGGCATGGACCACCCCGGCCAGATCAGCCTTCGCGAAGTACGGTCGCAGTTGGCGCACAAGTCTTAATTGTGCGAAAGCCCTCCCGGCCACTGCCGACACCTGAGCTTTCAAACGTAAGTGATGAATCCAGGAGGACAACTTTCCCCTCAGATAGGCCTTGATGCCCTCCTTGGGTAGGTCTCTATTTAAAACCTTCCTATCAGGTAGGCCTCGAAGCCTTCCTAAGGTAGGCCTCCAATGTAAACCTTCCCCTCAGACAGGCCTTGGAAGCCTCCTCAGGTATGCCACAATTCAAAGTCTCCTCAGGTAGGCCTCCATTCTAAACCTTCCCCTCAGCCAGGCCTTGAAGCCTTCCTCAAGTAGGCCTCCATCGAGAACCTTCCCTTCAGCTAGGTATGGAAGCCTTCCTCACATAGGCCTCATTCGGCAGGCGGCCATTGCGCCTCCTTTCCCTCAGGCGGCGCCTTCCCTCCTCTCTCCCTCCATTTTCCTCCCTCCCTTCCTTCTTCCATGGGCCGCAGCGGAAGCCCGTGCTGTTTCCTCCTCCTCCCCTTCTCGGTCCCTTGGGCTCCTCCTCCTCCTCGGCGCCGAAAAATGGCGGCCGGAGCCGGGCCCCTGGAGGAAGGAGTCGGCGGCGAAGGGGGCCTGCCTTTCTCCTCCTCGGCGCCGCCTCCTCCGCCTCTCCCGCCCTGCTCCAACCTGGGCGGAGCGCCCCCTCACGCGAGGCCCGAGGCTCCGGGGCCTGGTGCTGCGCAGAACCGGGGCGGAGGCAACCCGCGCATCCAGGGGGTCGCCTCCTCCTCCTCGCCTCCTCCTCCCGCGGCCTCGGTGCCGTCGTCTTCCTCGTCGCCACCTTCCCCGCCGCCTTCCTCGCCCCCGCCCTCGGCCTACAACTGGCAGGCCACCAAGCCCACCGTCCTGGAGCGCATGGCCTTCCTTTTCAACAACGAGGTGCTCAGCGACGTCCACTTCGTGGTCGGGAAAGGACGGAGGGGCGCCCAACGCCTCCCTGCACACAGGCAAGGAAAGAGGGAGGAAAGAAGAAGGGAGGGAGGAAGATAGGAAGGGGGAAAGAAGGAAGAGGGAAGGAAAGAAGAAAGAAGGAAGGAAGATGTGTGGAAAAAAGGAAGGGAGGAAGAAGAAGGAAAGGAGGAAGGAAGGAAGGAAGGAAGGGGCAGGGAGGGAAGGAAATATAGACATATATACATGTATTTGTTTATGTTGTCATGTCTGCATCTGTGCTCTGAATGAATTTGTGTGTTTTTATACATATATACATACACACCGGCCGACAGGGAGCTCTGGCGTAGGCTGGTCCATGAGGTCACGAAGAGTCGGAGACGACTGAACGAATGAACAACAACAACATACACACATATCTATCTATAGATATATACACAAGTACACACATATTACACAGAGGTACACACTCACATATATACATATATAAACACACACAGATACAGACACTTATGCACACACACAGATACATGCATAGGTTATTGTAGGTTTTTTCAGGCTATATGACCATGTTCTAGAGGCATTCTCTCCTGATGTTTCGCCTGCATCTCTGGCAAGCATCCTCAGAGGTTGTGAGGTCTGTTGGAACTAGGAAAATTGGGTTTATATTTCTGTGGAATGACCAGGGCGGGACAAAGGACTCTTGTTTGCTGGAGCCAGGTGTGAATGTTTCAACTGACCACCTTGATCAGCATTTGATGGCCTGGCAGTTTTTTTGGTGTGGCTTGTTAGTGCCTGGGGGAATCTTTTGTTGAGAGGTGATTAGCTGTCCCTGATTGGGCTGTTGTAGGTTTTTTTGGGCTATATGGCCATGTTCTAAAGGCATTCTCTCCTGATGTTTCGCCTGCATCTATGGCAAGCATCCTCAGAGGTAGTGAGGTCTGTTGGAACTAGGAAAAAGGGTTTATATATCTGTGGAATGACCAGGGTGGGACAAAGGACTCTTGTCTGCTGGAGCCAGGTGTGAATGTTTCAACTGACCACCTTGATTAGCATTTGATGGCTTGGCAGTGCCTGGGGCAATCTTTTGTTGAGAGGTGATGAGGTCCCAGATCGTTTTCTCTCTGATGTTTTGCTGTTGTAATTTTTGAGTTTTTTAATACTGGTAGCCAGATTTTGTTCATTTTCATGGTTTCCTCCTTTCTGTTGAAATTGTCCACATGCTTGTGGATTTCAATGGCTTCTCTGTGTAGTCTGACATGGTGGTTGTTAGAGTGGTCTAGCATTTCTGTGTTCTCAAATAATATGCTGTGTCCAGGTTGGTTCATCAGGTGCTCTCCTATGGCTAACTTCTCTGGTTGAAGTAGTCTGCAGTGTCTTTCATGTTCCTTGATTCGTGTTTGGGGCAATGCTGCGTTTGGTGGTTCCTATGTAGACTTGTCCACAGGGAACCACTGGCCGCATAGGGAACGTGATGAGGAAACACAATATACAAACTATCTACAGACCCACCAAGAAAATCCAACAAATGCTACGTTTAGCAAAGGACAGGAGGGATCCTCTCCCTTCTGCAGGAGTCTACCGTATACCATGCAGCTGTGGACAAGTCTACATAGGGACCACCAAACGCAGCATCCAAACACGAATCCAGGAACATGAAGGCACTGCAGACTACCGCCAGGCCATCAAATGCTAATCAAGGTGGTCAGTTGAAACATTCACACCTAGCTCCAGCAGACAAGAGTTCTTTGTCCCACCCTGATCTTTCCACAGATATATAAACCCAATTTTCCTAGTTCCAACAGACCTCACTACCTCTGAGGATGCTTGCCATAGATGCAGGCGAAACGTCAGGAGAGAATGCCTCTAGAACGTGGCCATATAGCCCGAAAAAACCTACAGCAACCCAGTGATTCTAGCCATGAAAGCCTTTGAAAATACATATACATACATAAATGCACACTTATATGTGTGTATTTATACACACATATATTACACGTATGCAGATACACATACATAAAAAGCACATATATAAATATGTATAAATACACATATCGTACATACATAAATACAGACGCGCACACACACATATATACATGCAGTTCCCAAGTTACAAAGAAGATCAGTTCTGCAGGTTTGTTCTTAAGTGAATTTGTGTGTAAGTCAGACCGGGGACTTTTTATGTGTAACTCTAGCTAAAACAAACATTTTGTTAGCTTTGGATAGCATAGGGAAAGGTTGACACCCCTAAGAGGTTTCCTTTGCTGTCTGTGTTCAGAATATTTTGTCGCACTTTATGCCCCTGTGGTAATGGGATTTTGACAAAGGCAGCTTGTTGTGGAAACAAGGATTGGTGATAAAGCTTCAGCGAAGGCCTCTTTTCCCCATGATAATAACGCTTTCAGGACTTTCTCTTCCTAACGAGGGGCAGATTTCTTTTGCTTCTTGTTGTCTCAGTCTCTGCCTTTGTAATTTGGAATTGGATGTAAGTCAGGTGCCTGTAACTCAGGGACTGCCTGTATATATAATCACCTACACACACAGACACACACACACATTACATACTTGTGTGTGTGTCTATGCATGTATATGTGTTTGCATGTGCCACATGGACCTGTACTTTGTGTGTGGTATTTATTTGTGTGTGTGTCATGTGTTTATGTATATATCTGTACTGTGTATGTGTTTACATATACTCACGCACATGTTATATCATTGTGTGTGTGTCTATGCAGAAAGGTGTGCAATTCCAGGCAATGTAGGACTTGTCTAGTGTTTTTGCGGGGCCATATCTGGTCTCTTTTGGACATATGTGTCTTAGCCTGTTGGCCATCCATTTAATGCATCATTCTATCTCTCATATGTATATGTATATATGTATAATATCTGGCTTTTGCATATGATGCTGCAGAGCCATTGGTTTGACTTTTCGCTCTGGTTTGACTTGTGGATCCACCTGTGCAGCATGAATGTATTTCCCTGCCAGGCACCCGGTTGCCATAACAATTAAATCCTATCTGTTTGCTTCTGCTAAATGGAGCTTTTGTGTTTATCAGGAATGAAGCCCAAGGCCCCAAGTAAAAAGATTTGTGAGCGACATCTTCTCTTCATTCATTGCAATCCTAAGGTTTAAATGCCCAAATCTTTGTTGTCTTGTCAAGACCGTGATGTGCTTTTTGGATCGGAGGCCCCATCCATGAGGATCTTCTGCATGTCTTTGAAAAGTCCATGGCAAAAAGTCCCCCTCCTTCTTCCCCATTGCAGGTTTGTGCTGGCGGTGGGCAGTGCGGTCTTTGATGCCATGTTCAACGGAGGAATGGCCACCTCCTCCGCCGAAATAGAGCTCCCCGACGTGGAGCCAGCCGCCTTCCTGGCTTTGCTGAAGTAAGAACCAATGGTGTGTTTGGTCAGGGCTGGAGCAAGAATGGGGCAGTCACATAACAATGTGCGCTTGGATGGAGTCTTCGTTTATAGCAGGAGGCAGTTGGGCTGGATGGCCTTTGAGAGTCCCTTCCAACTCTAGGATTCTAAGTTTCTATAGTCCTTTTTCCCCATGAGGCTGCATAGCCATTTATCGGGAGGGTTTTGATGATGTCTTCCTTAATAGCAGAATAGAGTTGGACCAGATGGCCTTTGGGGGTCCCTTCCATCTCTAGGATTCTAAAATTCCATAGCCCTCTTTCTCCATGAACCTGCTAATGTCTATGAGGCTGGATGGCTATCTGTCGGGAGGGATTGTATGGCGTATTCCTTTATGGCAATATGGGGTTGGACTGGATAGCCCTTGAGGGTCCCAACTCTAGGAGTCTATCATATTCTAGCCCTGATTCAACACAAACCTGCTAAAGTCTATGAGGCTGGAGGCCATTTGTCAGGAGGGATCACATGGCAAAATGGGGTTGGATTGGATGACCTTTGGGGTTCTCTTCCAGCTTTTTTTTTTTTTGGTCATGTCAGGAGTGACTCCTGGTGTGAGAGAATTGGCCGTCTGCAAGGACGTTGCCCAGGGGACGTCTGGATGGTTTGATGTTTTTTTATCATCCTTGTGGGAGTCTTCTTTCATGTCCCCGCATGAGGAGCTGGAGCTGATAGAGGGAGCTCATCCACCTCTCCCCGGATTTGAACCTGTGACCTGCCGGTCTTCAGTCCTGCGGGCACAGGGGTTTAACCCACTGCGCCACCGGGGGCTCCCTCTTCCAGCTATGATTCTATAACTCCTTTTCTCCATGAGGGTGGATGACCATCTGTCAGGAAGGGTTTGATTGTGCTTTTCCTGCTTGTCAGGAATGTCATTGGACTTGATAGTTTTTGGGGGTCCTTTCCAACTCTAGGATTCTATGCCATGTGATCCTATTTCTCCAAAGATCATCTTATGTCTATGAGGCTGGACAACAATCTGTTCGGAGGGCTTGGGTGGTTGCTTCCTTTATGGCAGAATGAAGTTGGACTGGATGGTCTTTGGGGGTCCCTTCCAACTCTAGGATTCCATTATCCTATAGTCCTCTTTCTCCATGAACCTGCTAATGTTTGCATGGCCTTTTGAAGTCACTGTCATTTTTATAGGCCAAGCATATGGATGGCAAATGCTTTTTTATTGTTGTTTTATTGTTTTATCCCACTCCCACCCTCCCCTCCTTGTACATGCCATTTATACAGCAAACTACAGAAGTTACATTTGAAATATCAGTCTCAGTCTTAATTTTTCTACTCCACATCTTAGCACATTCTCTTAATTATTCCTAACTGGTTCCCATGTCCTCTAGTTATTGTAACTTTTTCAATTTTATCTACGTTATTCCATTTGCAATTTGTTATTTCCGCATTTAACATATTAACTGTATATTATACCAGTTAGTCAGTGTCCATTTTGATTTATCTTTCCAACCCCTCACTAAAACAATGTCTGCACACGCTATTAATTTGTCAACCAATTTTTCTTTTTGTATATTCTTCACTCCTGCTATCCGTGCATATAGTACTTTTCTATTAACTATTACTATTTGTAAATTTAACATTCTATTGATTTCTCCTTCAATCATGCTCCAGTATTCTTGCACTCAATCACATTCCCATATCATATGATTAAACACCCCTCTTTGTTTGCAACCATGCCAACACCTGTTCTTTATCCTTGGTAAAAAAATGTGAAAATTGCGCAGGAGTTCTGTACCATTTTTGTAACATTTTTTTTCTTGCTTCCCTTAATATATTGTACTTTTGCTATATTACTTATTACCCTTTGGATGTCTTCCCTCTCAATTTCCATGTCCATTCTCCATGTTTGGAAATTTTTCCCGATTGTTTCTTTTTTTACTGTTACGATTTGTTCGTACAGATCTCCTGCCACTTTCATCTCCTCTCTCAAACATTTCCTAAACACCTTCTCAAATGAACTATCCTGTTTTCTAATTTTTCCCTCCATCTAAAAATTTCCTGTCTTATAGACCAGCTTTGAATTCAGTTCCCTGAATCTATCCAATTCTGAATTTCTTTTTGTTCTACAGGGTTTCCATCCTCTGTATACAAATCCTCCACTAAACCTTTCCCCCCTACTTTCAGTTAATCTCAATGTTCTGCCTATAATTTCATAATTATTATAATTAATTTGCTATATAGTTGGCATCTTATTCTCATTGCCTTGATTTAACTTCTTCTTCTTTTCCCCCACATTATTACTGTTCCTTTAAAGCAGCGTTTCTCAACCTGGGGGTAAGGACCTCTGGGGGGGGGGTGTCACGAGGGGGTGTCAGAGAGATCGCTAAATACCATCAGAAAACACAGAGTCCCCCTTCCGGGGTTGAGAAGGGTGGGGTACAAGTACCAGAAATAAATAAAATAAATAAATATTTTCTGTTGGTCGTGGGAGTTCTGTGTGGAAAGTTTGGCCCAATTCTATCGTTGGTGGGATTCAGAATGCTCTTTGATTGTAGGCGAACTATAAATCCCAGCAACTACAACTCCCAAATGTCAAGGACTATGTTCCCCAAACTCCACCAGTGTTTACATTTGGGCATATTGATATACATGCCACCAAGTTTGGTCCAGATCCATCATTGTTTGAGTCCACACTGCTCTCTGGATGTAGGTGAACTACAACTCCAAAACTCAAGGCCAGTGCCCACCAAACCCTTTCAGTATGGGTCATGGGAGTTCTGTGTGCCAAGTTTGGTTCAATTCCGTTGTTGGTGGAGAATGCTCTTTGATTATAGGTGAACTATAAATCTCAACAACTACAACTCCCAAATGACAAAATTAATCCCATCACCCCAACCCCACCAGTATTCAAATTTGGGCGTATTGGGTATTTGTGCCAAATTATGTCCAGTGAATGAAAATACATCCTGCATATCAGATATTTACATTACGATTCATAACAGTAGCAAAGTGACAGTTTTGAAGTAGCAACGAAAATAATGTTATGGTCGGGGGTCACCACAACATGAGGAACTGCATTAAGGGGTTGCGGCATGAGGAAGATGGAGAAACACTGCTTTAAAGGCTTCCTTAAATTCTGTTTCCTCTCTCCTCTTCCATTCCCTGAATATTATTTCTTTTCCTTTAATCTTATTTATTATCTTCTCCATATTTACTCATTTTTCCATATACTGTATTTCCAACAGTCTTTGGATTTGAAACACATCGTGATAGACTTCTAAACTTGGATCCCCCCAGCCTCCCTCTTCCTTCTTTTGCATTTCACCATTTGTCTCTTATTCTGGGTCTTTTTCCTCTGACTGCCCATTTTCTTATTCTTCTGTCCCATGTCTTAACGTCTTCATCTCTACTGTATTTGGTAATGGTTGGAATAACTATAATAATTTTGGTATTATAAACATTTTCAATCCACTCATGTTAATGTTTTCCCTTCCCAGTTCTTAAGTTGTTCTCTATTACTTTCCATGTTGTTTGTAATTCCCCTTAACTATATATACCCTTTGGATTTTTATGTATCCATACTCGTGAATATTTTAACTTCTTTGATCCTAATTTTAATCCTGATATTTTCCTAATCTCCAGTTGTTCCTTTGGTGGGGTGTTAAGACATAGTATCTCTGACTTTTTGATGTTAACGAATAATCCTGATATATTCTTGAACTATTCCAATTTTTTAATCATATCTTTTATCATGATTATGGATGGCAAATGAATCCCAGGTTTGAGACTACTGCCTTCCTCAGTTATTCAGAGCATCTTAAGATTGGAAGGGATCCCCAATGATGGGGAGTCAGGCAGCAAAGAGAAGGGAAAAACAGCTGAGGGGACTGGGCATCAGGAAGCAAAGCTCCCACTTCTTGTCTCCAGGTTTCTATATTCCGATGAAGTCCAGATCGGGCCCGAGACTGTCATGACGACGCTTTACACGGCAAAGAAGTACGCAGTGCCGGCCCTGGAAGCTCACTGCGTGGAGTTCCTGAAGAAGAACCTGCGGGCAGACAATGCCTTCATGCTTCTGACGCAGGTAGCCTATTCTTTCCATAGGGGGGCTCTGGTAGACATTCTGGGCCCATCTATTGAACCATCCATTGCTTGGAAATATTCCGTAAATAGATTTGTGTGTAATTGCATAGTTTCTCACCATGGAATGCACCAGGGACATAGATTTGTTTGTGTATATTTACATAGTACCTGAGATCTACCACTAGAGGGAGTTGTTGTCTAACCATGGAACATATCAGGGATATTGTACCTTATTTGCTGAAGCGGCTGAAGGCTTCTGTATTTTAGGGTGTTTTTTTTTTTTTAAAAAAATAATTACATAATTGCTCATACCAGAATTCATTTTTCCGGCTGATGGATGTCTTCTGTTTTAGGCCAGGCTCTTTGATGAGCCCCAGTTGGCAAGCCTTTGCCTGGAGAACATAGATAAGAACACGTCGGATGCCATCAACGCCGAAGGCTTCACTGACATTGACCTGGGTGAGCATTCTCCACTCTCCAACTCTGGGAATCTAGGATTCTGTGACCCTGTTTCTTTCTGTTGATGTCTATGGGACTGGATGGCCATCTGTCAGGAGGAATTAGATTGTGTTCGTTTATAGCAGAATGGGGTTGGCCCTTGGGATCCCTTCCTACTATGAGGCTTTGATCTGACAGCCCTGATTATCTCTATGAACCTGCTGATGTCTATGAAGCTAGATGGCCACCTACTGGGAGAATTTTGATTGTGCTTCTCTTGGATTTTGATTGTGCTGCTTCTCTCCCGATGGTCTCTTCTATGGCTTTCCCTGCGGCAGAGACGCTAGTGGCAGTGCTGGAGCGGGACACGCTGGGAATCCGTGAGGTGCGCCTCTTCAATGCTGCAGTCCGGTGGTCGGCGGCTGAGTGCCAGCGCCAGCAACTGCAGGTGGTCCCTGAGAACAAGCGCCAGGCCCTCGGCAAGGCCCTAGCCCTCATCCGCTTCCCCCTCATGACCATTGAGGAGTTTGCCGCTGGTAAGCCTGGAAAGGCGGGGGAGAGGGGATGGCTATTATGGGATGGCCATGTCACCCTCTAGTGGCTGGGCAAAGTATGGTGCCAGTGGACTGTGTGCTGCTTCATAGTGAATCCTGGTGACTGGAATAATGATGATTTATTTCTTTGTCGTGTCAGGGCAACCAGTCAATTATATTACATTTCTAACAGAACAAAGCAAACAAACAGACAAAATACAAAATTTGTGAGTTTGGTAGTTGATTAAATGTCCTTTGACCAGTATCTGGCCACTTGGAGTGCCTCTGGTGTTGCTGCAAGAAGGTCCTCCATTGTGCATGTGGCAGGGCTCAGGTTGCATTGCAGCAGGTGGTCAGTGGTTTGCTCTTCTCCACACTCGCATGTCGAGGATTCCACTTTGTAGCCCCATTTCTGAAGGTTGGCTTTGCATCTCGTGGTGCCAAAGCGCAGTCGGTTCAGCGCCTTCCAAGTCGCCCAGTTTTCTGTGTGCCCAGGAGGGAGTCTCTCATTTGGTATCAGCCATTGGTTGAGGTTCTGGGTTTGAGCCTGCCACTTTTGGACTCTCGCTTGCTAAGGTGTTCCAGCGAGTGTCTCTGTAGATGTTAGAAAACTATTTCTAGATGATGATGATGGAAGGATTAGCAGCTTTGAGCTAAGGGCAGCCTTCCTAATGAATAGGATTATGCGGTTGCCATACTCCCCTCTAGTGGCCAAATGAGGTATAGTACTAAGGGACTCTGTGCTTTGTAGTCACATCTAGTGGCTGGAATTATTATTGATGATGATGATGATGCTGAAAGGTTTGAGCACAGAGAGCCTCCATGGCCAACTCAACATTCTGGTGCGGTTTGGGGGAGGACGGACTACAGATGATGGGACTTGCAGTACTTTCACTCACTTTCTGAGACCACTGCGACCCTCACCCAATTACCGATACAGACCAAACTTGGCACACAGAGCCCCCATGACCCACTCTACATCCTGGTGCTGTTTGGAGGAGGATGGGCCATGAATGATGGGACTCACAGTATCTTCACTCACTTCCTGAGACCTTCATCCAATGACTGATCAAGACCAAACTTTGAACACACAGTCCCCCTGATCGACTCTACATCTTGGTGCAGTTTGGAGGAGGATGGACCATGGAGGAACCCACCCAACATTGGATGTGGATGTAGATTAAACTTGGAACACAGGCAAACAATGCCTTTCTCAAATAACCCGTGCACCGCTGGGTCCCCAAGCTAGTAATAATAGTAACAATAATAATAATGGAAGATTTGAGTCAGTGACAGCCCTCCTAATGAGTTGGATTATGTCCTTGCTGTGGTATAGTAGTAAGGGACTGCGTGGTTCATAGTCTCCCCTAGTGGATGGAATGATGATGGCAGCCCTCCTAATGAATAGGATTATACGCTTGCCATACCTCCCTCTAGTGGCCAGAGGGATATAGTGCCTTGGAACTGTGTTCTACTCTACAGTGACCCCTAGTAAAGTGGTTCTCAGCCTTCCTAATGCCGTGACCCCTTAATACAGTCCCTCATGTTGTGGTGACCCCCAACCATAACATTGTTTTTGTTGCTACTTCATAACAGTCATTTTACTACTGTTATAAATCATAATGCAAGATGTATTTTCATTCACTGGACCAAACTGGGCACAAATACCCAATGCACCTACATGTAAATGCTAGTGGGGTTGGGGGAGGATTGATTTTGTAATTTGGGAGTTGTAGTTGCTGGGATTTATAGTTAACCTATAATCAAAGAGCATTCTGAACTCGACTAGCGATGGATTTGAACCTAATTTGCCACACAGAACTCCCATGACCAACGGAAAACACTGGAAGGGTTTGGTGGGTATTGACCTTGAGTTTGGGAGTTGTAGTTCACCTATATCCAGAGAGCACTGTGGACTCATACAATGGTGGATCTGGACCAAACTTGGCACAAATACTCAATATGCGCAAATGTGAACACTGGTGGAGCGTGGGGAAAATAGACTTTGACTTTTGGGAGTTGTAGTTGCTGGGATTTATAGTTCATTACAATCAAAGAACATTCTGAACTCCACCAACGATAAAATTGGCTCAAACTTCCTATATGGAATCCCCATGACCATCAGAAAATACTGTGTTTTCTGATGGTCTTTGGTGATCCCTCTGACACCCCTTCGTGACCCCCTCAGGGGTCCCGACCCCCAGGTTGAGAAACACTGCCCTAGTAGCTGGAATAATAATGATGGTGGTGATGGAAATATTGGGAGGTTTGAGCCAGTCAGCCCTCCTAATGAATAGGATTATGCACTTGTCATTCCCCCCTCTAGTGGCCAGATGAGTGATAGCACTAAGGGACTGTGCTTCATAGTGATTCTTAGTGGCTGAAATAATAATAATATTAATGGAAGGATTGAGCCAATGGCAGCCCTCCTAATTAATAGAATTATGCACTTGCTGTACCCCCTCTAGTGGCTAGATGAGTGATAGCACCAAGGAACTGTGTTGCGGCAGGTAACAAGATTTATACAATATAGATTAGGACTCAATGGGACTTCTATCCAACCGAGTGTTCTGTCCTCCAGGTCCGGCCCAATCAGGGATCCTGACAGACCGGGAGGTGGTCAGCCTCTTCCTCCACTTCACCGTCAACCCCAAGCCCCGGGTGGAGTTCATCGACCGGCCCCGGTGCTGCCTGCGGGGCAAGGAATGCAGCATCAACCGCTTCCAGCAAGTGGAGAGCCGCTGGGGCTACAGTGGGACCAGTGACCGCATCCGGTGGGCCTTTCTCCCCCAGCAAGGTTATAGGGCTTCCTGGGTTGGGGAAGGAGGAGATGGGGATATTGAGATGAAGGAAGAGAAAAGGCAGATGGAGGTATAGCGATGGGAAGGAAGAGGGAGAAAGATTGATATAAATCTCCCTAGAGGTTGAGAGAGTGTGACCTTGCCAAGGAATTTTCTAGGGGCATTTATTTATCTTTGTCTTCTCCCTTCTTCCCGGCCACAGGTTCTCCGTCAACAAGAGGATCTTTATTGTTGGGTTCGGCTTGTACGGTTCCATCCATGGCCCAACAGATTACCAAGTCAACATACAGGTATTGGGCACTCTTTCTTTGGTGAAGGGTATCGTGGGACGCAAATAGAAAACTTCTTTTGTTTTGGAGACAGTGGGAAAATAATAATAACAACAACAATAACAACAATAATATAACCTGAGGATATTCTAATAATATTAATAATACCTGAGGATTTTCTAATAACAATAAAATTAAAATAAACTCAGGGTTTTTCTATTATTATTCTTGGGGAAATAATAATAATAATAATAATAATAATAATAATAATAATAATGGTAATCGGCACACTAGGTGCTATGCCAAAAGAGTTCAGCCGGCATTTGGAAACAATAAACATTGACAAAATCATGATCTGTCAACTGCAGAAGGCCATCTGACTTGGATCTGCACACATCGTTTGAAAATACATCACACAGTTGTAGACGCTTGGGAAGTGTTCAACTTGTGATTTTGTGATATAAAATCCAGTATATAGATCTCGTTTGCTGTGACATACTGTTGTGTCAATAAAATAATAATAATAATAATAATGTAATAAATCTGGGGCTTTTCTAATCATCATCATGATCATCATCCCAGGGCTTATCTAAGTAATGTGAACAGAAAGTTGCTATGTATGGAGCAGTCCCTTATCTCATGCTTGAGATTGGAAGTATTTTGAGAATATCTGTATTTTCATATAGGTACTTAACGAGGTATTCCAGAGAGGAAATTCACAGATGCTTCATGAATATTATTATTACTACTGCTATTACTATAAACCTGGGGCTTTTCTATTAGTATTATTATTTTCATCATGCCCTCCCTCCCTCCCTCCCTCCCTCCCTCCCTCCCTCCCTCCAGATCATCCACACAGACAGCAACACAGTCCTGGGGCAGAACGACACAGGTTTCAGCTGCGACGGCTCCTCCAACACATTCCGGGTCATGTTCAAGGAGCCTGTGGAGATCCTGCCCACTGTCAGCTACACAGCCTGCGCCACTTTGAAGGTGAAAGGAGGGGCCAGGAGGGAATCGTAGGCTTCTAGAATCAGGAGGGTCCCTCAAAGGCCACCCAGTCCAACCCCATTCCACCACAACACCATCAAAACCCTCCCGACAGATAGACATCCAGCCTCATTGACATTAGATGGCCCAAATAGGGCTATAGGATTCTAGAATCCTAGAGTTGGGATCAGTCCAGGCCGTAAAGGAAGACACCATTAACCCCCCCCCCCCCCCCCCCCCCCCCCGGCTGACGACTATCCACATTAGCAGGGCTGTAGGATCATATACTTTTGGACTTGAGAGAAACTCCAAAGGGCCCTCCACATTCTGCCATAAAGGAAGGCACCATCAAAGCCCTCCCAACAGAGGGCCATATAGCTTCATAGGCATTAGATGGTTAATGGAGAGAAATAGGGACCCCCCAAAGGCCATCCAGTCTACTCCCATCCCGCCATGACACACTCAAAACTTTCCCAGCAAACGGCCAACCAGCCTTATAGAGATGGAGAAATAGAGCTATAGGAGCCTAGAGTTGGAAGAGACCCCCAAAGTTAAGCCTCTTCTGCCAGGCAGGAAGACACCATGAAAGCCCTCCCAAGAGATAGCCATCCAGCCCATTGCAGGAGGCTTCACCAGACTCAATGAGACAGTAGCAGATTGCACTGCTGAACAACTTTGTCTGCCAGGAAGTTCTTTAGTTCTATGGATGCAGCGTGGAATCGCATTGGCCTTTTGTGCTGCTGCGTCGCACTGTTGACTCGCCTGTCTCTCTTTCTCCGCTGCAGGGCCCTGACTCCCATTACGGCACCAAAGGCCTCCGCAAAGTGATCCACGAGTCGCCGGCGACAGGAGGCAAGACCTGCTTCACCTTCTGCTACGCCGCTGGCAATAACAACGGAACTTCGGTGGAGGACGGCCAGATCCCGGAGGTCATCTTCTACACATAGATCCTTGGGAGGGAGGGGATACAGTAGCCCTCTCCCTTTGCCCTGAGTGCCGCTGCTTCTCTGCGCTCAGCCTGCGGGGGGCGCCAGAGAGGGTGCTTCCCGACTGCAGGAAGCGCCGACTATGGAGGCCTGAAGGGGTCAGTCTTCCCCAAGGCTTTTGCCTCCCTTTCGAAGGCCCTGCCTGCTGCCTTCTCCCTTGGAAGACAATCGGTTCTGGGCCTCGCAGGGTTCTCCCAGACCCTCAAAACACTGGGCTCTCAGTACCGTTCTGCTGCTGCTAACAAATAATAATAATAATAATAGTGCAACGTAACAATGCATTTTCCTCGTTATGTTTATTTGCCCTCCCCCCTCCTTCACTCCTACATTGTTGATTGTTAGGTGGGTTGTTTTGTTTTGTTTCAATCTATGAATAAATCCCCTGGGCTTCCAAAGTGGCAAAGCGTTGTTTTTTTTGTCCGGAGTTCTGAATGGAAGGCAAGCTGCACGAATCTAATTGGCTACCTCAATCTAAGGAAGAACTTCCTAGCAGTGTTCTGGGGAGGTTTTGAAGCGGTGGCTGGAGGGCTCTCTGTCAGGAGGGATTGGATGGTGCCTTCTTCCCTCTTTTTCCCTATGTTCCTACCTTTCACCCTTTCTTCCTTTTCTGTATTCTTTTCCCTACCTGTCTTCCTTTCTCTCTCCTTTCTTGCTTTTCTTCCTGTTTTCCTACTTTCTTTTCTATCCTTCCCCGTTTTTCTCTTTTCCTACCTACCTTGCTATCTCCCATCCTATATACCTCGCTCTTTCCTTTTTCCTACCTCCTTTCATCCCATTTGCCCTCCTTCATTTTCCTCTTTATTCTTCCTCCCTTCATTTTCACCCTCCTTTTCCTTCTCGTTTCCTACCTTCCTTCTCCCCTTTCTATCCTCTCCATTTCTTCCTTTTCCTACCCTTCTTTTTCTCCCTGTATTCCTCTCCTTCCCATTCTTCCACATTTCCCATCATTTCTTCTCCCTCCTTTCTCCCTTTTTCTTTCCTTTCTTTATCCCTTACTTGGCTGGTTGCATACTGCAAGTCACTTCTGGTGTGAGAGAATCAGCCATCTATGGAGAGGCTGCCCAGGGGAAACCTCACCCTAGGGACCACTTCACCCGCTTCATAGGAAATCTGCTACAAAACAGGAGCTTTTTTGTTGAGTTCCAGGGCCAGAGAAGCAGATGGCGAAAATAGAAGAATGGCCTGTCTCAAGGGAGCGTGCTTGCTCCATCCATGTTCAACATTTACACAAATGATCAGCCACTGCCAGAAGGCACAGAGAGTTTCATCTATGCTAACGATCATGCCATCATCGCCCAAGCAAGGAGCTTTGAAATAGTTGAATAGCAGCTCTTTGAAGCTTTATGTGCTCTTACTGCCTGTTACAGGGAAAACCAGCCGATTCCTAATCCATCTAAAACTCAGATGTGTGCTTTTCACCTTAAGAACAGACAAGCATCTTGAGCTCTTGAGGATTACCTGGGAAGGAATCCCACTGCAGCACTGCAGCACACCAAAATGCCTGGGAGTTACTCTGGATCGTGCTCTGACTTATAAGAAGCACTGCTTGACTATCAAGCAAAAAGTGAGTGCTAGAAACAATATCATACCAAAGCAGACAGGCACGACCTGGGGATCACAACCAGACACAGTGAAAACATCTCCCCTTGCACTTTGCCACTCTGCTGCTGAATATGCATGCCCAGTGTGGAATACATCTCACCACGTTAAAACAGTGGATGTGGCTCTTAATGAGACATGCTGCATTATCACAAGATGTCTGCACCCTACACCACTGGAGAAATTAAACTGTTTAGCCTGTATTGCACCACCTGATATGCGCAAGCAGCCAATAATGAAAGGACCAAGGCAGTGACATCTCCGGCCCATCCTCTGTTTGGGTATCAGCCAGCATGCCAATGCCTTAAATCAAGAAATAGTTTTCTTAGATCTACAGAGATACTCACAGGAACACCTCAGCAAATGTGAGTACAAAAGTGGCAGGCTAAAACCCAGAACCTCAATCAGTGGCTGAGACTGGATGAGAAACTCCTTCCTGGGTACACAGAAGGCTGAGCGACTTGGAAGGTACTAAATAGACTGCACTCTGGCACCACAAGGTGCAAAGCCAATCTTAAGAAATGGGGCTACAAAGTGGAGTCCAAAATATACAAGTGTGGAGGAGAGCAAACCTCAAACCACTTACTACAATGCAGCCTGAGCCCTGCCACATGCACAATGGAGGACCTTCTTACAGCGACACCAGAGGCACTCCCAAATGCCCAGCTTCTGGCCAAAGGACATTTAGTATAATGCCAAGTTTTTAACTTTGTGTTTTTAAATACATTATAGCTGTAACCCTCAATTCGCTTCTGACATAAATTCTCTTTTCCTTCCTCCCTTCTCTTCCTTCCTTTTTCTTTCCTCACTCCCTCCCTTTCTTTCCTTCCTTCCTTCCCCTTCCTTCAATCGATCACAGCTTGTGTTATTATGAGAAGCCAAAAATTATTTTCTCAACCTTCTTTTTTCTTTGGATTCAATCGACAGAGAAGGAGCTGAGGGCGGCTGCGGACTCTCGTTTGTTTGTTTTTCCCTAGTTAACCCCTCCCAAAAGAAAACACACAACAAAACATCCTTGGCAGGAAGAAATCATTTTCAAGTTTTTTTTGTTTAATTTTGGGTTGTTTTTTTTTCTCTCTCCTCCTTTTTTTTCCTTTTTTAAAAAAGCCCCTAATGTCTATGGCTTCGAGGAAACACGGTTGCCGTTACCTTTTGTTTTGTTTCTTTAAAGCAGTAACTAAACTCACAACAGCCTCTTTCTCACCTGCCTTTCGGAGCACAAACTTTAACCTCTTCAAAGAAGAAAAAAAACACAACAATATTAGCAATGTTTTTGTTTGGATGCAAGCGCCGACCTGTCGCTTTATATAGAGGGGGAAAAAACCTTGCAAAAGGGACCAGAGCTCGGTTTCCTCTGCATCAAGGCTGCATTTAATGCAATTTATTCCAATCCTGTTTGCAGCATTTGGGAAAGAAGCTCCTGAGTCGGAAGTCGCCCAAAGTGAGGATTCAGCCTTTCTTCCCTTCCCTTCTTTCTCTCGGTTCTCAAGAGGCACAACTGTTTGCAGAACAAATGGATTTAAGACCAACAGAGTGATCCTTTTGAGCCCCTTCTTTTCTTTAATAATAGGGTTTGAACGCACCTGCTCCTTAAGGGCGAATGGAGCAACTCACATTCGGCCTTTATATCTATATATATATATCTATATCCCTTTGTATAAAAATATATATATTTCTCTATAAAGAAGCTCTTCGGAAGCAGCTGGCATCCATCGTCCTGCCTTTTTAAGAAGGCTTTTCTGGGGCTTAAAGGAAAAGGGCAGGAAATGAATGACGAGCGAAGGGTCTCTTCTATACTATTATGATTATTAATATATTTATGCTTCAAAGGTTCCTCCCAGTGCTTCTGTCCTTCACTCCGTCCTATATATTCCTTTGTAAGTTGAAAGCCCCACACCCTTCATCCAAGAAAAAGGAGGGAAGGAAAGAAGAGAAAGGAGAAGGAAGAGGGGAAAGGCAGAAAGTGAAAGAAGGGAAGAGCAAAGGAGGAAAGGCATGCAGGAAGGATGGGAGAGGAAGGAAGTGACGAAGGGAACAAGGGGGAATGGAGGAAGGGAAAGGTGATGGAGAGAAGAAAGAAAAAGAAGATACATAAAGGAAGGGAGGGAACAGTAGAGAAAGAAGGAAAGGCATGAAGAAAAGATGGGAGAGGAAGGAAGCGATGAAGGGAGAAGGAAGGGAAAAGGGATGGAGGGAAGAAAGAAAAAGAGAAGAGACAGAATGGAAAGGGAAATGTATAAAAGAAGGGAAGGGAAGAAAGAAAAAAGGGAAGAGAATGGAAGGTATAAGGAAGAGAGAGAAGAAACAAAGGGAAGAGGAAAAGAAGCAAGAGGAAGGAACAGGAGGAAGAAAAAGTACAAGGGGAAAGAAGGAAGAGAAAGGAAAGGAGGAAAAGTATGAGGGAAAAGAAAAGGGGAAAAGGCATGTTGGAAGGATAGAAAAAGGAAAGGAAGAGAAAGTTGGGAAAGGGCAGGAGGGAGAAGAAAAAGAACAAAGGGAAGGAAGGAAAACAGGAAAATGTATTGCGGGGAGGAAAGAAAGAAGGGAAGAAAAAGGAGGGAAGAATGAAATGAGAAGGCAAAGGTAGGATAGAAAGGAAGAAAGCAAAGAAGGAGATGTGCGAGGGAAAGGGAGAGGAAAGAAGGGAAAACCAAGGACAAAGATGAAAGAAGAAGGSAAAGAGAAGGACGGAAGGGATGGATGGAGAGAGAAGGGAAAGGAAGGGAAAAGGGATGAGGGGAGGAAGGAATAGGAAAGGAAGAGGGGAAAGTATGGAAGAAAGAGAAGTAAAGAGGAAGGAAGGGAGGAAAGGATGAAAGAAAAAGGAGAGAAGGTCCTCGTTTTGGTCGGCAGCCGGTTCCTGAGATTGTAGGCTTTTTCCTTCTCACCTTCAGGTCGGTCTCAATTTATCCTCGTTGTTTGACACACGAAAATAAAAGTATCTAATAAAAAGAACGGGGACGATTTCGTGACACACCGGCATTTGCATGTATTACGACCCAAAAGTGCACTGATCAACCCGGGGGGAGGGCAGTGCCGTGTCCTCCCAAACGAGACAGGAAACTCCCGTTTAGAAAAATAATCCTCCTCCTCCGTCTGCAGCCATTGCGACTCCCCCGGAAAAGAAGCGGACATTAAAAAAAAATTAACTTAAAAGAGACACAGAAGCCAAAGGGGAAATAAGGGGGGAAAGGGCGAAAATAATTATCCTGTTCCTTCGCATCGCCTGCTTCTTCATTTTCTTCTGTAAACGCTTTGATTCCCAAAACGGAGAAGAGGAGACTGAAAAGATTTGGAGAATGGCTGCATTTCTGCAGCGGGGGGCTGCTTCCTCCTTGCCACGAAGGGAGGCACAGACGTCCCAGGTGCGTCCCCCCCACACAGGGCGGGCCCCACGGAGGTCTCTCGACGGAGTCCAAGTGGCTTCAGCCTGCTTCGGGGAGGGGGGGGAAGGGGGGCCCAGAAGCGTTTGTGTGTGTGTTTGCGCCCCCCCACACCCCAGTTTGGAGCATCGAGACCTATCATCCACAGGGGGGCCGACGAGAAGGCTGCCCCCAAACGTCCCAAGGGGGGAACGCGGCCTCACTTGTGGCGCTGGCTGGTTTTCCTCTTCCTCCTCTTGAAGAAACAGCAGCACCTAGTGGGGAAAGCGAGAATTGCAGGTGACGATGGAACTGCGTCAGTCTGAGTAATATTAATACAGTAGAGTTTCGTTTATCCGACATAAACGGGCCAGCAGAATGTCGGATAAATGAAAATGTCAGATAATACGGAGTCTCCTATTGTTACCTGTCCGATGTGGCACTAAACACCTAGAATACTAACAACAGGGACTCAAAGGGTTCAGGCAAGGCAATGCCTCGGGGCTAGAGCGGCCCAGCAGGAAGTGCCTGGATGTGGAAGAGGAGCGTGGAAATCACAGAGGGAAGGAGGGAGGACACTTCCGTTTCCAGTCCTTTCTCTTTTTCCCCTTGCCTTATCACTTACTGGGAATGGAGAGAGAGTTGGGGAGCACTGCTTTAATTGAAGGGGAAATGCTGGAGGAAAAGGGCGGGGGGGGGGCATCGATAAGAGTGTTGGATAAGACAGAATGTTGGATAAGCGAAGGTTGGATAAGCAAGACTCTACTGTAATAATAATAATAATAATAATAATAATAATAATAATAATAAGAGGATTTAAAGATCAAACTGCAAAGACTCTGGCACAAACCAGTAAAGATGGTCCTAGTGGTGATCAGCACACTGGGTGCAGTGCCTAAAGACCTTGGCCTGCACTTAAACACAACTGGAGCTGACAAGATTACCATCTGCCAGCTGCAAAAGGCCACCCTACTGGGATCTGCATGCATTATTTGCCGATACATCACACAGTCCTAGACACTTGAGAAGTGTCCGACTTGTGATCCAGTATAACAACCAGCAGAGTGATCTTGTCTACTGCGGACTCATCTTGTTATGTTTCAAATAAATAAATAAATAAATAAATAAATAAATAAATGTTTACTTGTAACCCGCCCTCTCTCTCCAAGGGGACTCAGGGCGGTTTACAGACAAAAGTAACAGAGTGGCAAATGTTCATTGCCAAAAGGAACAAACAACAACAATAAATCAACTGGAGCGGCCCACAGCCCTTGCATTTGACACGTGCATTACTTAGTTGGCGGGGCCACAACTTCATTTTGATACAGCTTTATGCCTCTGCCACCAACCTCACCATTTTGTCACTGCTGGATGGATGGATGGATGATTAGAAGGATATATAGATAGATGGATGGGTGGATATATGGATGTGTGGGGAGATGATTAGAATGATATATGGATGGATGCATAGATATAATGGGGCCTCAGTAGCACAGCGGGTTAAACAGCTAAGCTACATAATTTGCTGACCGGAAGGTCGGCGGTTCGAATCTGTGGATTCAAGCTCCCATTGTTAGCTCCAGCTTCTGCCAACCTAGCAATTTAAAAACATGTGAGCAGATCGATAGGTACTGCTTCTGTGGGAAGGTAATGGCACTCCATTTAGTCATGTCAGCCACATGACCTTGGAGGTGTCTACAGACAACGTCAGCTTTTCGGCTTAGAAATGGAGATGAGCGACACTCCCCAGAATTCGACTTGACTAGACTTTATGACAAGGGGAAACCTTTACCTTTAGGATAGATATATGGACAGATAGATGGATAGATAGTTGAGTGGATGGGTAGATGGATGGATATACAGATGGACGGATATATGGATGGATATATTGGATAGTAATATGGATGAATGGGTGGATGATTAGAAAGATATATGGATGGATGATTTTATGGGAAGGGTGTGTGGGTGGATAGAAGGATTAATTATTAGATGGATATATGATTGGATGGATGCATGGGCCAAGTTTTAGCACAGCAGGCCAACCACCAGCTGCAGTAAATATTGCTAAATATTGTTTGACAGTTCAAGCCCGGGTCGGGGTGAGCTCCTGGCTGTCAGCCCAGCTTCTGCCCACCCAACAGATCGAAAACAGCTATTTGAGTAGATATATAGGTACCACTTTAAAAGTGGGGAGGTAATAAAGGTGTCCATAAAGGACAATTCAATCGGGAGGCATCTACAGATAACAAAAAAGTTCCTCGGCATAGAAGATGGAACAACAGCATCCCCCATGGCCACAGTCGAGCACAGCCTCCAGATGTCGGAGATGGAAAACAGCCTCTACCTCTGTTTATGTATTGTTTGTCCTGTCAATTGTATAACGGCATTGAATGTTTGCCTATATATGTTCTGTATAAAGTTTGTATGCTGCTCTGTGTCCCCTGCGGGCAGAGAAGAGCAGGATAGAAAATGAGGTAAATAAAATGAATGGACGGATGTATGTATGGGTAGATGGATAGCTGGTTGGTCGGTTGGTCAGATAAATGGCAAAATAATAGAATCCTGGAGTTGGAAGAGACCCCTAGGGGTAACCCCATTCCACCGTAAAGGAAGACATGAGCCGATCCCTCCTGGCAGACAGCCACCCACCCCAATGGACATGAGCAGGTTCATGGAAAGAAATAGGGCTATAGATTCCTAGAGTTGGGAGGGACCTGAAACCCATTCTGCCAGGCAGGAAGACACCACCAAAGCCCTCCTGAGAGATGGCCATCCAGCCGCAGTAACTACTCACTTTGTGTCGTCAGCCACCTCCACTTCAGCTGGAGCCGTGATGGGGGCGTTGGAGTGACCGGCCGTAGGGTCGTCCGTGTTCAGCTCCCCGTTAGTCGAACTCATGACCTAGAAGAGAGGAGGCGGGAGTCAGCAACAGGAGGAATCCCAAAGGAGGGGCACCATTCGATCCCTCCCAACAGATCCCTCCAGCCTATTATTGAACTAATGAACCCCAGAGTTGAAAGGGACCCTCAGAGGTCATCCATTCCAACCCCCTTCTGCCAGGCAGGAAGGCACAATTCAAACAGATGGCCCTCCAGCCTACTACTACTACTACTACTACTACTACTATTATTATTAGTAGAAGTAGTAGAACCAATGAACCCAAGAGTTGAAAGAGACCCTCAGAGGCCATCCATTCCAACCCCCTTCTGCCAGGCAGGAAGGCATCATTCGATCCCTCCTGACAGGTGGCCCTCCAGCCTCTGCTTCAACATCTCTAGTGAAGTAGACTCCAAATACAATTGGCCTCCTGCCTCCTCCAAAGTCTTTGAGGGACCCCTCTTTTACAGCAACTGTTTCTAGATGGAGTGGATAAATCGTCTGGGCTTCTCTCTCCTTCTTTGGACCTGTTGATTCTCAAGGCCAGTTGGAAAGGACTGACAGGAAGCTACCCCCCACCCCCAAGTATAGCTAAACCATGATTCATGTCCATGCAAAGCCCCCATGGTTTACAAGCCCAACTTTCAAACCATGGTCCCCATCACACAGGCTTTGCATTATCCATGGCACAAAAATCCAAAAAGCAGGACACGGTTGAGATGGGAGGGCACTAAAACATGAAAGCCGTTTCTCCTTTTCGATGGCACTTTCTTAAAATATTGCCAGCACGAAGGTTGAAAAGCACCAGGTTGTAGCACAGATACAGACAACAATATAGTTTCCACAGATATTCCTATCCTTCCATCCATCCATATAACTATCCATCCATCCATGTATATATCTATCATGTATCCATCCATACATCCATCCATGCACGCATACACCCACCAATCATCTTTCCATCCATCCATCTAATAATCTATCCACTGAATAAGATATCAATCCATCTAATCACCCAGTCTCCATCCATCCATCCATCCATCCATCCATCCATCCATCCATCGATCCACCCATCCATCCAACTATCTATCTATCCATCCATCCAGCCATCCAATCATGTATCCATCCAACCTCTATCCATCCACCCATCCATCTAACCATCTTATCTGACCATCTAACCATCTATCAATCTAACCAACCATCCATCCATCCACTCACCCATCCATCCAACCTTTATCTATTCACCCATCTCTATCTAATCATCCATCCAACCATCTAACCATCCATGCATCCATCGATCCATCTATCTATCCATCTATCTATCCATCTAACCAACCTACCACTCATCCATCCATCAGTCATATCTATCTATCTATCCATCCACCCATCTATCTAATGATCTATCTATCTATCTATCTATCCATCCATCCAACCTCTATCTATCCATCCATCTAACCATCTATCTGACCATCTAACAATCTATCAATCTAACCAACCAACCATCCATCCACTCACCCATCCATCCAACCTCTATCTATTCACCCATCTCCATCTAATCATCCATCCATTCAGCCATCCAATCATCTAACCATTCATACATCCATCCATCTGACCATCTATCTATCCATCCATCCATCTATATATCCATCTAACCAACCACTCATCCATCCAACCATCCATCCATCCATCCGTCATATCTATCCATCCATCCGTCATATCTATCCATCCACCCATCTATCTAATGATCTATCTATCTATCTATCTATCTATCTATCTATCTATCTATCTATCTATCTATTTATGAATCCATCTATCCACCCACCCAGCCTTTATCAATCTAACCATCCATCTATCCAGCTCTTTATCATAGCAGTTTTTAACCGCATCTGGAATAATCCTGGGTGCCCCCCCCCCCCAAGAGGTGAGGAATGATAGGCACTGCGGTCCAATCCCCTCCTCCTCCATTTTATGCTATTATCCCATCGGTCCCCTCAGGTAGGGGAAAAGCAACCGGTGAGGCTAACAAATCACACACTAAAATAAATCCCCCCTTTTTCCAAGCTCTGGTGAGATTGGAGGAGGCTTTGCAAGCAGATGGAGACGAAAGCAGCTCTATGGGCGGAAGGGAAACAGCTGGGGTATGGGGGGCAGCTGGGAAGACGCAGCCCCCGCCCGACCCCTGACCCCCCCTTCGCCCCCGCTTATGTACCTGGACGGACCCCCCAAGCCTGCTGGTGGCCAAGTGCGTTGCTAGCGCTTCCTCAGCAGGCTGGGGGCTGGGCTGGGGGTCCCACTGCTCCGTCCCCCCGTCGGGTGATGGCTGATGGCGGAGGGAAAGAAGGAAGACCAAGAGAAAGGAGGGAAGAGGAAGAAGAGATGGTGGGAAGGAGGGAGGGAAGGAAGACCAAGAGGAAGGGGGGAGGAAGGAAGGTGGAAGAAAGGAAGGAAAAACAGAAGATGGAAGGAAGTTGGAAGGAAAGAAGGTGGAACGAAAAAGGAAGGGAACACAAAAAGAAGAGGGGAAGAGGAGATGGTGGGAATGGAGGGAGGGAAAGAAGACCAAGAGAAAGAGGGAAGAAAAGGAGGTGGGAAGGTGGGAAAGGAGGGAGGGCAGGAAGACCAAGAGAAAGGGGGAAGGGAAAGAAAAGAAGGTAGGAAAGGAGAGAGGAATGGAAGAAATACCAAGAGAAAGGGGAAAGGGGAGGAGAGAGGAGAAAGAGAAGGATACATGGGAAGGAAGGAAAATGAAAATTCAGAGAAAATTGGAAGAGAGAGGATGATGAGAAGAAAATGTGGGAAGGAAGGTAAATAAAAGAGAAGGAAAAAAAAAAGGGAGAAAGGAAAAAGAAAGGAAGGAAGGGAGGGAGGGAGGAAGATAACAATCAAGAGAAAGGGGGAAGAGGAAGAGAGACAGAAAGGAAGATAGACAAAGGCGAAAGGGAGGGAGGAAGAACAGGGAATACAAAAACAGAAGGAAAGAGAAATAAAGGGGGACAGGGGAAAAGGAAGTAAGGAAAGGCAACAGGACAAAATAATAGGAAGGGAAGAGAAGGGGAAAATGAGCGGAAGAAAGAGAAAGTGAAGAAAGAAAGGACAAAGAGAAAAGAAGGGCAGGAAGCAAAGGAAGAGAAAGGAAAGGGAGTCCCAGGGTGAACGAAATGAAGAGGCGAAAAGAGGGGGCGGGGAAAGGAAGAAAAGAAGAAAAAAAAAGACATGCAAGAGCCAAAACAACAGAAAAACAAGGCCAGAACGCAATGCTATGCCGCCGCCTTCCAGCCTGGTGCCCTCATTCCTTTATTTGAGACCCCCTAAAGGGGATGCAGCTGGGGACACGGGCCCTGCTCCCTCCCTCCGAGGGTCTGAGGAACCACAGTCCCTTTCCTGCCTTCTTCTCACTGCTGGTCTCCATCTGGACGCACAGGGCCCCCAAGTCCGTCCCCCCAAAGGCCCAAGACCTACCTGCTGCTTGATGTACTGCTGCGCTTTTTCCCGATTCGGGGCCTGGGCTTGGACGTCACTCTGGATTGTGCCAATGGGGGTCGGCTGCAAGGAAGACAGGGAAGGAAGGAAGGGAAGGAAGGTGGAAAAAGACAGGGAAGCAGGAGGAAGAGGAGGGAGCTTTATTTCTGTTTGTTTTTTTTTTAAACTGCAGAGCCATTTGGGGTTGATTCTCCCACCCTTCCTTCCTTCCTTCTCCAAAGACAAGGAACTCTTCTCTCCTCCCTTCTTCTTCCAAGGCCTAAAGGCAGTTCAGAAACAATAAAGTTGAGGTCTCCACACCTCCACCCTTCTCTCCTCCCTCCTTCCTCCAAGGCCTAAAGGGAGTTTAGAAACAAGAAAGTGGAGGTCTCCGAAGCTCCACTCCTCTCTCCTCCCTTCATGATCTTAAGGCAGTTTACAAAATCTGGAATTAAACTCTTTGGAGGAAGGAAAGAAAATCTGAGTTCCAGTGGCCTCCATTTTCTGCATAACTGTAATACCAAAATAGTCGCATCCTCATTTTCCGGGTGCCAAAACTGCCTTCTTAGGTGTTGTTGTTGTTATGTAGGCAGAGGGAATTCTCAGATGGAAGGGGACTGAAGGGGGAAATGGGAACCCAAAGAAATACCCCAAAATCCGGCCTGGGAAGCTAAGCAGGGCCAGCCTCAGTTAGGACTTGGGTGGGAGGTTGCCAACCAGGCCTTCTTTCAAGCACAGAGGAGCGCTTACTAAGGGCTTCCCGGCCCAGTCGTATTCGTAATCGAAGACGAAGCCGTTTCGGTCAAACAGATCGGTGAAGAGCTTCCTCAGATAGTCGTAGTCTGGCTTCTCGAAGAAGTCCAGGCGCCGCACGTAGCGCAGATACGTCGCCATCTCCTCTGCAGATGGAGAGAGAGAAGAGAGGACCCACCGATCAAAGACATGCTCGCCTTTCTGATATCTTTACAATAAGGCCTCTGGATTATGCGCTTGCTGATTCTATGATCCTATAGCTCTATTTCACTCCATGAACCCTCTAACGTCTATGAGGCTGGGTGTCCATCTGTCAGAAGGGATTGGATGATGTCTTTGTTTAGCATAGAAAGGGTCTGTGCCATGGGGTCCCTTCCTATGCTAGGATTCTATGATCCTATCGCCCTATTTCTAGCGCCAACTTTTTGCTTGACATTGAAGCAGTGCTTCAATGCTTGACATTGAAGCAGTGCTTCAGAGCACGGTCCGTAGTAACTCCCAGGTATTTGGGTGTGCTGCAATGCTCCAGTAGGATTCCTTCCAGGTAATCCTCAGAGCTCGAGATGCTTGTCTGTTCTTAAGATGAAAAACACACTTCTGTGTTTTAGATGGGTTAGGGATCAGCTGGTTTCCCTTGTAATGGGCAGTAAATGGCACCCAAAGCTCCTGAGAGCTTCTGTTCAGCCATTTGAAAACTCCCTGCTTGAGCGGTGATGGCATGATCATCAGCATAGATGAAACTCTGTCCCTTCTGGTAGTGGCTGATCATTTGTGATAATGTTAAACATTAATGGAGCAAGCATGCTTCCTTGAGGCAGGCCGTTCTTCTGTTTTCGCCACCTGCTTCTCTGGCCCTGGCACTCAACAAAAAAGCTCCAGTTTTGTAGCAAATTTCCTATGAAGCAGGTGAAATGGTACCCTTTGTGATATTATACATCTTGTGACATGTGAGTGTGGAGAAGAACAAACCACAGACCACTTACTACCATCCAGTCTGAGCCCTGCCACATGCCCAATGGAGGACCTTCTAACAGTGACACCAGAGGCACTCAAAGTGGCCAGCTTCTGGTCAAAGGAAATTTAGTATAATGCCAAGTTTTTAATTTTGTGGTTTTTCTATACATTATAACTGTATTCTCGATTCATTTCTGACATGATAAATAAAATAAATAGTCCTATTTCTCTCTGTGAACCTGCTAATGTCCATGGAGCTTGGTGGCCATCTGTTGAGAGGGATCGGGTAGTGCCTTCCTTTGAAACTATCAAACAGGACTCTGATTCTTCTATGAAAGCTTAGCTCCTTTGCCATGGGACTCCCTCCCAAAGGAAGACCGCCAGGCACCGTCCTGCCTCTTCCCAAATCCTTGTATTTAAGATTTATTTTTAAGCAACGTGCCTAGCAAGCTACAGGCAACCAATACCTGGGGATGGGGCATCACCCTCTTACACTATCAACACTTCCCCCTCAGTGCTCACCAGGGAAGTTTTCGCACAGCACCTCCACTGGCGTGGCTCTCTTGGTATCACCGATTTTCTGGTAGCGCTCCTTCAGTGTGTCAGCCTAAAAGGAGGATGGTCAGAAAGGAAGACGTTATCCTCAGCAGATGAACTCTGCAATGGATAATTCCGCGAGAGACGTAGGGCTCATCAGCCCGAGAGCCTGGACCTGAGGGCACCGTTTTGGGGATTCTCTCCACCCCAGTTTCCATGGGGAATGGACTCACCTTGAGGCCTTGCCAGGGCAAACTCCCCCGGAGGAAGTACATGAACATGTGACCCAGCGCTTCCAGGTCATCTCTGCGGCTTTGTTCTGAGCAGGAGACAGAAAGAGAAGTCGGACTGACTCGTCATTTCACCAAACGGCTTGAACTCATAGCCACCCATTTCTTCCAATCTGTACCAGAGGGATACTTAGTAAAGGTTATCCCAGGGCATTGGCAGAGTATATCTATTTGGTTTAAACATCACTTTTCGCCCAAACTGGACTCTAATTATGATAGATTTCTGGCAGTAGTCTTCTCTCTCTTTTTCTAGAGAGAAAAAGCAGGCTATAAATAATTATCTATACACATAATAAAAGTAAAAAAATATGTATGTGTGTATGTGGCTGGGCTATCCATGTACACAGACATGCTCCTGCCTCCACAAACAGCTATGGCTCCCACTCCTCAGGAGACACCAAAGACCCTCCCTCCAATGACATTGCAGGTTATAGTGAGCACCATGAACATGTCCAAGAGCCCTGTCAATCTCCTCCACAAACAGCACACTGCCCATCACCCAAGCGAAAACTTTCATACAGGGACAATTTCATTGTAGATTTTCTGTTTTTCCTCCACCACACACATCCCAGTGTTTCTGACTCTCTCCATTGGTGTGGAATTTGCATGACACTGCCCACCGCCTCTCCCTGAACTCTTTCCTATGCTTTTCTATGGCACACAGCAAACAGAGGAATTGATCAGCAATTGGAGATACTAGAGAGGTTTGAGGAGAATTCACAATGATTTATAGGAGTTGTAGGTACTGAAATGTATAGTTCACCTGCAATCTAAGAGTGCTCTGAACTCCACCAACAACGGACCTGGAACTAACTTGGTACACATAACCCCCATGACCAACAAAACACGCTGGAGGTCTTCGGAGGGATTTATAGGGGTTGTAGTTCACCTACATCCAGAGTGAACTCAAGCAATGATGGATCTGGACCGAAACCTGGCATGCATATCCAATATACCCAGATTGGAATACTGGGGGGTTTTGAGGGGTTGTATGTAGTGGGATTTATAGTTCACCTGCAATCTAAGAGCACGCTGAACTCCACCAGAAATGGAATTGGACCAAACTTGGCACACAGAGCCCCCATGAACTGCAAAAAAACCTACCGAGTCCTTTGGGGAAAATTAACCTTGATTTAGGGGAGTTGCAGTTCACCTATATCCAGAAAGCACTGTGAACCCAAACACAATGGATCTGGACCAAACTTGGCACACATTCCTGATATGCCGAAATTTGATTACTGGAGGAGTTTTTTTTTGGGGGTGTGATCTTCCTTTCTGGGAGTTGTAGGTCATCCACAACCAGAGAAACTGTGACCTCCACCAATGATGGACCTGGACCAAACTTGGCACACAGAACCCCCATGACTAACTCAATCTACTAGAAGAGTTTGAGGGGACTGACTCACCATAGTGGGAGTTGTAGTTAACCCTACAGCCAGAGAGCACACTGAACCCCACCCATGATGCATCTAGAGCAAACTTGCCCAACATAACAAACTTTATGTATTGATTGAGTTTTTTGGGGTTAACCTAGCATGATGGGAGTTGTAATTCAACTATGCATTTTTCAAATAACCCAGACAACGCTGGATACCCAAACTAGTAATAATAATAATTGCTGCGACTTTACCAATATCTGTTATACCAACTACAATAGCTGTGCATTTTAAGTTGCTTTTTACATGTGCATTGTGTTATATGTATTTTAATAGTGTGGTGTTTTCTCTCTCTATTTTAACCAATATTACCACATTATTCAAAATAGGGAAAAGAGAGATGGGCAATAAAAATAAATAAATAAATAAATAAATAAATAACTTCATGATACACCTACACACAAAGAGAGACTCCCCAAAGCTGACACCCACTCACCTTTCCCCAGGTGGGTGTTGATGCTCATGTACCGCGCGGTCCCCGTGAGGCTCTTGTGCTCTCGGTAGGGGATGTGTTTTTTGGTCTCGGGGTCGATGTACTCTTTGGCCAGGCCGAAATCAATGATGTGGATGGTGTGCTGGCGCTTGCTCCCAGGGCGTCCCACCAGGAAGTTCTCCGGCTTGACGTCACGGTAGATCAGGCTTTTGGTGTGAACATATTCCATCCTCGTGATCTGGTGAGAAGGAAGGGGGCATTACCAAAAATCTCTCTCTATATATACAGTGTTTCATCACATAACGGTTGCATTTTTTCTCAGTTTAAAAACTATAAAGTGGAGGTCTCCGAAGCTCCACTCTCCTCTCCTCCCTTCTTTCCTCAAAGCCTAAACAGAGTTTAAAAAGTATAAAGTGAAAGTATATGAAGATCCACTCTTCCACCTAGACCTTAAGGCAGTTGAAAAATTATAAAGTAAAAGTCTCTGAAGCTCCACTCTATCCATCTATCTATCCATGTAGCCATCCATCTGTTGGGTTGGTCTGGATGGCCCTTGGAATATCTATCTTAAGGGTTGGAGTCTATGGCCCTTGGGGCCTCTTCCAGCATATGCCCACCCTTACCAGCTGGATGGCGATCATGAGGACAGTCTTGAGGCTGAAGGTCCGGTCGCAGAGGTCAAAGAGGTCCTCCAAACTGGGGCCCAGCAGCTCCAGCACCATGGCATTGTACTTCCCGCAAGGGCCGAAGTAGTAGACCTGAGGGATCCCTTCTGCAAACAGGAGAGGAGAGCAAGAGGTGAGGCCTCGCTTCTCCTCTAGGTTAATAAATATAGTAATAATAATAATAATAATAATAATAATGGTGTCCATTCCAATCACCTGCATTGCCAAGCTGTTTGTAGAATCGGTACTCTAGATGGAGCTGAGGGGCTCTGGATTTGATAGGTTCCTGTGGAGGAAGTAAGCCAAAAGAAACTGATTGATTGTTCCATCAACAAAACCCACCAATTCAGCCATATTGTAGTAATAATAATAATAATAATAATAAAACTTTATTTATACCCTGCTACCATCTCCCAAGGAACTCGGTGTGGCTTACATGAGGCCGAGCCCACAATACATCAATGCAAGCAATACAACCACAATACAAAGCAAAATACTAATACAAAGCAATTAAAATAAATCTAATACATAAATAGTATAAACATTGAACAATAGCACAACACACATTTAAAATCTATGGCTGGGCCAAATGTAATTAAATTAAAAAATAATGCTGGGCATGAACACGATAGAGGAGGTGGGGCATTGGTGGAAACGTACAAGCAGTCCTAAATCAGTATAAAGTGCTTTAGAGGACATAAAGCTAAGGGTTCATTATTCTGGGAAGGCACACTGGAATAACCACGTTATTATTGTTAAATTAATAAAAATAGTGATTTAATGCATACATTCAAATTACACTAGACTCTTAGCCAGTGGGTCTTACCTCCTTGGGAGAAGGGGATGCTTTCTTAATATTGTTATTTTATTATTATTATTATAATAAATATATACAATATTATTGAAACATTATTATTATCTCTTTCCCTTCCTTCCCCTTCATACTCCTTGAGTAAAAGGGACATTTCCACCAAAGAAATAGAGGAGAAATCCATCTTACCAATTTGATGGCGACGTATTCGTTCGTATAGAGGTTCTTCCCTGTTGGAAAAGAAGGGGAAAAAACCTGAGCAAAAAAAGGATAAGCAGCTGTATTCTATAGAAAAGGAGCATTCTTGTTATTTATTTATTATTTATTTATAGTATTTACAGTATATTCTGGCGTATAAGACTACTTTTTAACCCAAGAAAATCTTCTCAAAAGTAAGGGGTCGTCTTATACGCGGGTGTAGTCTTATGCATGGGAGTTGTCTTAATTCTATATTTTAACTGGAAAAGTTGGGGGTCGTCTTATACACCCAGTCGTCTTATAAGCCGGAATATACGGGTATATTCCGCCCTTCTCATCGCAAAGGGGACTCAGGACGGATCACAGAACACATATACGGCAAACATTCAATGCCGTTATACACTGACAAGACAGACAGCTGTACATAGATACAGGCTTTCCCATCTTTGGCATCTTGGAGGTTGTGCTTGGTTCCAGCCACCGGGGTGTGTGTGTGTGCTGTCACTCCACTTTCCCTACCAAAGAGCTGTGTTCATAAACTTCCTCCTTGAGCAAATTGTCAACATTTTTCTGACATTTCCTTATGGGTGTCTTAAATATCTCCCCGCTTAAAGTGTTACCTATTTATCTACTCACATTGCTGTTTTTGAAACTGCTAGGGAGGTAGAAGCTGGGCCAAATGCCAGGAGCTCAACCTTAGGCTTTGAATGGACAACCTTTTGATTGGCAAAATTTACTGCAGATGGCGGCAAACCTGCTGTGCTAAAGCCCAGCCAAAGGGCACAGTTTTTCATATTGTGCCTTTGGCCTCATTGCTGGGGAAGCGATATAGAAATATTTGGGGGAAATCCCACTGAAAAGATGTATATATGTATAAGTGTGTATTTCTATGTATAAATAGATATATATGTGTGTGTGTGATACAGTAGTCTCGCTTATTTGACCTTCCATCTTATCTGATGCTCTTATCCAATGCCCCCCACTCCCATGTTCCTCCAGCATTTCCCTTTTAGAGGCCATGTTTTTCATTTCTTTCTTTCTTCCCCATTTTGGCTGGTATCACTGTGCTGACTGCGGAGGAGGAGCCAGAACACAATGGTTATGCCTCCCCCTCTCCCCACGCGCAGCAATGGTTCAGTCTGAGTTGGGAGTTTGTAGGAAAGATGGGGAAGAAAAGAATGACGCTGGGCAGTTGTCTTGAGCATTTGTGTAAGTGTACTATCTACCTTTTAATTACAATTGCTTGTTTGTTGCTCTTCTTTCCATCATAGAATCATAGAATCAAAGAGTTGGAAGAGACCTCATGGGCCATCCAGCCCAACCCTCTGCCAAGAAGCAGGAATATTGCATTCAAATCACCCCTGACAGATGGCCATACAGCCTCTGTTTAAAAGCTTCCAAAGAAGGAGCCTCCACCACATTCCAGGGCAGAGAGTTCCACTGCTGAACGGCTCTCACAGTCAGGAAGGTCTTCCTCATGTTCAGATGGAATTTCCTTTCTTGTATGTGATGAGTTAGTTCTCTCCTTGTGTCTGGAAAACCAAACAGAAGGAGAACTCACTCACCACTGATCCCTGCCAGGATAGAGATATGGACTTCAACTCCCAAAAGCCTCTGTATTATCCAATATTTTCATTTTTCTGACATTCTGCTGGCCCATTTATGTCAAATAAGTGAGACTCTACTGTGTATATATATACACACACAAAGAGAGAGTGAGATGTATATGAGACATGGGCAAACGTTGGTGCTCCAGGTGTTTTGGACGATCAGGCATAGAGAATTTATATTTAGTACTGGAACAGATCACGCTATTTTCTAACCATGGAAAGTATTAGGAATATACTATTTATATTTAGTTCCTTGAAAAGACCACTAGAGGGTGCTGTTTTCCAAACATGGAATGCATTAAAGGTAAAGGTAAAGGTTTCCCCCTGACATTAAGTCCAGTCTTGTCGGACTCTGGGGTGTGGTACTCATCTCCATTTCTAAGCCAAATTGCCGGCAATGTCTGTAGACACCTCCAAGGTCATGTGGCCGGCATGATTGCATGGAGCACTGTTACCTTCCCACCAGAGCGGTACCTATTGATCTACTCCCATTTCCATGTTTTCGAACTGCTAGGTTGGCAGAAGCTGGGGCTGACAGCGGAAGCTCAAACCGCTCCCTGGATTCAAACATGTGATCTTTCGGTCAACAAGTTTAGCAGCTCAGCGGTTTAACCCACCTAGCCACCGGGGGCTCCATGGAATGCATTAGGAATATAGTATTTGCTACGTTCAGCAAAGGACAAGAGGGATCCTCTCGCCTCTGCAGGAGTCTACCGTATACCATGCAGCTGTGGACAAGTCTACATAGGGACCACCAAACGCAGCAGTATTGCCCAAACACGAATCAAGGAACAGGAAAGGCACTGCAGACTACTTCAACCAGAGAAGTCAGCCATAGCAGAGCACCTGATGAACCAACCTGGACACAGCATATTATTTGAGAACACAGAAATGCTGGATCACACCAACAACCACCATGTCAGACTACACAGAGAAGCCATTGAAATCCACAAGCATGTGGACAATTTCAACAGAAAGGAAGAGACCATGAAAATGAACAGAATCTGGCTACCAGTATTAAAAAACTCTAAAATTACAACAGCAAAACAGCAGAGAGGAAACAACCAGGCACATCTTAACACCTCTCAACAAAAGATTTTCCCAGGCTCAGCCAGGCCTTCAAATGCTAATGAAGGTTGTCAGTTGAAACATTCACACCTAGCTCCAGCAGAGAAAAGCTCTTTGCCCCACCCCAGCCATTCCACAGATATATAAACCCATTGTCCTAATTCCAACAGACCTCACTACCTCTGAGGATGCTTGCCATAGATGCAGGCGAAACGTCAGGAGAAATGCCTCTAGAACATGGCCCTATAGCCCGAAAAACCCCACAAGAACCTAGTGATTCCAGCCATGAAAGCCTTCGACAATACAATAAAATATTTATTTATATTTAGTTCCTGGGATAAACCACTAGACCGGTGTTTCTCAACCTTCCTAATGCTGCAACCCTTTAATACAGTTCTTCATGTTGTGGTGACCCCAACCATAAAATTATTTTTGTTGCTATTTCATAACAGTAATTTTGCTACTGCTATGAATCGTCATGTGAATATCTGATATGCAGGATGTATTTTCATTCACTGGATCAAATTTGGCACAAATATTCGATATGCCCAAATTCGAATGCTGGTGAGGTTGGGGGGGGATATCCAATTTTGACATTTAAGAGTTGTAGTTGCTGAGATTTATAGTTCACCTACAATCAAAGAGTATTCTGAACCGCACCAATGATAGAATTGGGCCAAACTTCCCACACAAAACCCTCATGCCTTGAAGGAAACGCTGGCATGAGCCTCCCTCCAGCCTCGCACTCTCTCCCTCGCCTGCACATGAGCACCATGCTGCCACATGCTGAGCATTCCTGCTCTCCCCTCCCTGCTTGGAGTCTCAAAAACAGCCCTCCCCTTGGCTGGGAGGCTGGCCAATCACAGCGGAGTAGGGGTTTTGGTGGGAGGATTCACCGCCTGTTTCCAAAAAAGAAAAGGGCAGGCGGAGCGATCTCCAGCCTTCTCTGCCAAAGGGGTTCCTAACACCATCAGAAATATATGTTTTCTGATGGCCTTTGGTGACCCCTCTGAAACCCACTCATGACCCCCCAAGGGGTCCCGATCCCTGGTTGAGAAACGCTGCACTAGAAGATGTTGTTTTTTCACTATGGTATATATCAGGAATTTAGTACCTGGGATGGGCCACTGGGGGGGGGGGGGGGGTTTTCTAACAATGAACTTTATCAGGAAGTTTGGGGCTGGGAGATCGGCCCCTTCACAGTCGCATCCAGACTCACCTAGCCGAAGCTCTCCGAAGTTCCCGCATCCAATCTTCTTCCCAACTCGGAAGTTTGGCCCAACCATCAAGACCCCCGAGTTGGTCCCTGTTGTCCGGCCCCCGTGCGCGTTGCGTCCCCCACCCGCTTTAGACATCCTCCGGCCTTCCTCGCTGTCCCCTTTCCCGCCTCCTCCTCTCTTATCAAAATCCATAAGTTTGTGGTACCCCGGCCTCTCCACGGTTACGCCGCTGCCATACAAATCCCAAGGCGGATGGAAACGTTTCGCGGAGGGGGAAAGGGGTCACGGGAGGGGTGGGGTTAGGGGTTGGGAAGGGAGGGTTTGGGTGGGATGGGGAAGCGGTCAAAAAGGCAGGGATCTTCTTGGTTGAGAATAAGCCACCGCAGGTGTCAATAAACCATCGTGAGAGAGGAGGGGGGGTCTCCACCGGCTAGTGGAACGGCTGCCCCCTCGCCGCATCTGCTGGGGTCCCACGCAGTCCCTCCGAATGATCCCTCGATGGAAAAGCCATGATAGTGGAAGAAGGAGAAGGGGTCCCACAGCGGAGAGTCGCTTCCAAACTGAGAGAATGTAGAAAAAGAGGGAAGAAACAATTTAGTGCAGCGCTCTCAAACCTTCTGAGCCGAGAGCCAGTTCATGGCCCCTCAGATTATTTGGGGGGAGGGCAATCTCCTTGGGGCTCTGGCAGCAGCAGCCTCAAGAGCAGGTATGTAGGAAGAGTCCAATGCAGGACAAAGGAAAGGGAGTGGCATGGGAGGCATTGGAGCCATTCTTCCTTGCCTGGCATTGAGGAGGCTGCTGCTGCCAGAGCCCCATTTGCAGGCCCAGGTGACAGGAGGGGTGGCTCAGTTGAAAGGAGAGACTGCAAACGGGGCTGTAGTAGCAGCAGCCTCCTCAAAGGCAAGCAAGGAAGGAATGATCCAATATTGCCTAAAGGGAGGGAGGGTTGTATACTTCCTTCCTGACCTACTCTTGAGGCAAGGAAGGAATCCTTGTATCACAGGTTGGATTGCAAGGAGGAGGCAAACAAGGGAAGAAAGGGATGGGAAGAGAAAGGGGGGGGAGAGAAAGGAAGAGATGGGAGGAAGAAGAGGGAAGAGAAGGGAGCGGAGGGGAGGAAGATGGGAAGGGAAAGGAAGGGAGGAAGAAAGGAAAGAAGGGAAGGGAAAGGCGGAAGAAGGGAAGGAGGAGAAAGAGGGAAGAAGGGAAGAAGAGAAGGAAGGAAGGGGAAAGAGGGAAGGGGAAGGAAGGGGAGGAGGGAAGAGGAGGGAAGAAGGAAAGGAGGAAGAAAGGAAAAAGGAAGGAAGAAGGGAAGGGAGGAAAAGGGAAAGGAGGGTGAGGGGAAGGGAAAGGCAGAAAGAATGGAAGGGAAAAGATTAAAATGGGAAGGAAAGGGAGAAAGAAGGGAAGGGATGGGGGGAAGTAGGGAAGGGAGGTAGAAGGGAAGGGAGGCAATAGGGAAGGGAAGGGACAGGAAGCAATGGGATGCACGTGGGCATTCAATCGTGAGAGGGCTTGAGTGATCTCAATAGGCCACAATGTATCCCATTTTTGCCTCAATGATCCGCGGTCTCTTAAAGGTTGGGAACTACTGCTGTAGGGAATTTGATGTAGCATATTTTCCTGAAAACAAAATACACGTGCACTGAACCACCAAAAAGCAAAACATAAATAAATTGAATTTTGGAGCATTTCTAATTTTGGCTAAGAGATGCACGAACTGTATAAAACAGAATACAGTTAAAAGAACACATAACAACTTTAAAAATCCAACCCCCTTTTTCTCCTCCTTCGCATCTCTTCAACATACTAGAGGGGGGTTTAAAAAGGACAAGTCCCCTTAATCTGTGTTTTCTCCTCCTCCGTCATCCACGCTTCCTCATTCCCCCTTTTAATTCGGAGGGATGATCAGGACTTCCCTCCCACGACTCCACAATAATCCTTCAGGAGGGGACTGCTTTCCCTCCCATCTGAGAGAGATGCCTTTTCTTTAATCCAGATTAATAGAAGGGCGCCTCCTAAAAAAAAGCCCTGCAGAATTTCCTCCCCCTTAAAGACCTGCTATATTTTTAGAAAGAAAGATTTAAAAACCTGGAGCAACTCAAAAGACAACTGTTCAGTGACGACGTCTTAAGAAACAACAGGTGAGTCTAGATAACCTTTGGGAACCTTTCAAAGTCAGTTTTCAAATACCTCCCAAACTGGGAAGAAATGCATATGTTTAAAACATTCCTCATTCTGCATATGTAATAGCTTCTTTACGCAGAAGGCTCTAAACAGGACCTCCATAAGGCAAGTTTTGCAGTGGATGTATAGGGGGAAAGATCCCAAACAAGGTATGCTTTGTTTGAGGGGCTGTGGAAAGAAATACATAGAAACCAAGCTCTAGGAAGAAGGAAAAGCTTTCTTTGCGCCCTCCTGTCTGAGATTTGTGGGTTTCATTTCATGCAGCTTTCCCAATTTTTTGCCAAAAATGAGGGGCTGTGGAGTCCAGCTTCTCCATAAATCATCAAGCAACATGAATACACAAACACACACACCACTTACAAAATACAATTCTTCATTCCATTGCTTACTTTCTTATGGGGTGGGTATTCTGACTGTGGCCTTCAGAGCTGTGTAGCTAATTCTTTCTATCTTTTTACCACCCTCTTGTGGTTGCATTTAAGCCCTGCACTCATACAGAACTAGAGGCCAGAAGCTAATCCTTTCTATCTCTATACTGCTTTCTTGTGGCTGCATCTGTTCATTGCATATATACAGAACTAGAGGCCAGGAGCGAATCCTTTCTATATATACACTGCTCTCTTGTGGCGGCATCTGAGCACTGCATACATACAGAACTCTGCACTGAATGGTTACAGAACTAGAGAGCAGAAGCTAATCTTTCCTATCTCTTTACCAGCCTCTTGTGGTTGTATTTGAGTACTGCATACATACAAAACTAGAAGCCAGGACCTAATCCTTTCTAGCAATACACTGTCCTCTTGTGGTTGCATTTGAGCTCTACATTCATACAGAACTAGGGGCAAGGAGCTAATCCTTTCTATCTATACACTGCTCTCTTGTGGCTGCATCTTAGCACTGCATACATACAGAACTAGAGGCCAGAAGATAATCTTTTCTCTCTTTACCACCCTCTTGTGGTTGTATTTGAGTATTGCATTCATACAAAACTAGGGGCCAGGAGCTAATCCTTTCTATCTATACAATGCTATCTTGTGGCTGCATCTGAGCACTGCATAAATACAGAACTAGAGGCCAGGAGCTAATCCTTTCTAGCTATACACTGCCCTCTTGTGGTTGCATCTGAGCACTGCATAGATACAGAACAAGAGGCCGGTGGCTAATCCTTACTGCCCTCTACTATCTACATACTGCCCTCTTGTGGCTGCATCTGAACACTGCATTCATACATACCCAGTAGCTAATCCTTTTTATCTGTATAAAATATTTATCCTCCTTCCTTCATCCGTGACCTCTGGACAGTTTACAAAACCCAAAATAGAGGTCTCTGGAACTCAGATGTCCCTCCCTCCTTCAAAGAGCTCCATTCCAGGTTTTGTAAAATGCCTTAAGGCCTCAGAAGAAAGAAGGGTGGAGAGAAGAGTGGAACTTCAGATGACTATTTTATAGTTTGCCTTCAGGGTGGAAAGGAAGGGAAGATTAACCCTAAATGGGAGAGTGACTATTATGCAAGGAATACGATATATTGGGGGATGCAGTTCATCCAGCACTGGACCTTAGCCATAGAGGACTAAAATTTACATCCCACACTCGGGATTGTGCTATGACACAAACCACAGGGAAAACATAGTTTGCAAAGCCAATGTAATTTTTCAAAAGCCAACAGATTCGGAAGAAGAGAGACAATAGATCAAATACAAGTGTTACCTTCCTTTCCTTTTAAGGTTTTTGTTTAAGGAATGAAAAGGAATCAAAATAGGACTGAAATCTTGCTGTTTGTTAGAAGACAGAATAAAAGAGGATGAACTCAGGGCAGGAGAAAATGTCCTGGAGAAACGCAAGGCTCAGAAGCCAAGGAGAGAACAGCTGAATATTAGGAAGAGGTTAGACCCCTATTGGGCGCTTCTGCCAAGCTGGCTCTTCCAAGGCAACATCACAGAGAGCAGCCCTTCCTCCTCATCCAAAGTTATTCCTCCTTTGACTGTCTCTTGCTTCCCTCCTGGGGAAGCAAAGACACTGCATACATGCAGACCTAGAGTCCAGTGGCTAATCCTTTCTATCTCTATACTGCCCTCTTGTGGTTGCATTTCTAGGCCTTGTCTATGTCCTCCAGTGCCACTCCATGGTATCCTTGGGTTAGAAGCTAAAGGTAAAGGTTTTCCCCTGACATTAAGTCCAGTCGTATCCGACTCTGGAGGTTGGTGCTCATCTCCATTTATAAGCCAAAGCCGGCATTGTCCATAGACACCTTGAAGGTCATGTGGCCGGCATGACTGCATGGAGCGCCATTACTTTCCACCGGAGCTGTACCTATTGATCTACTCACATTTGCATGTTTTCAAACTGCTAGGTTGGCAGAAGCTGGGGCAAGCAGCAGGAGCTCACGCCGCTCCCCGGATTCAAACCCGTGACCTTTCAATCAGCAAGTTCAGCAGCTCAGCGGTTTAACCCACTGTGCCACCGGGGGCTCAATAAATATAAAACCTATATACCTATATATCCACTACTATCTGCAGTAGGGAACCTTTGCATAAGGGAACTTATACGGATTCATATCCATTTGCCGTTTTGGTGCGCCGACTCCAAAGCCCACTTAATCCCATTGCACATGAGAGCTATAGTCCAAACATCCGAAGAATGGTGGGGATCCTTTGAGGAACCTATCTTCAGTTGCAATAAAATGCCATTTCCTCTCCTTCTTTCACAAGCAAAACATGCAAAATGCTCCCTGCAAGTGACAGAAATACAATCCCGTCTTGGTTCACAATAACAAACAACACACACACACACCCCATTTGCTTCTCTTCCGCATAGTTGATCCTTTTCCAGTTCTAATTCAAACGCTGGTGTTTCCTGTGCCTTAAACGCAAACCCAACTTTGCTGGCTCCCAGCCACAAATATATACATTAACTATACATTGATAGAAAGTCAAGGGTTTTTTTCTGGCAGGAGATCAAAACATAGCCCAATTTCTTCCCCACTTTAGGAATGACACACAAAAAACAAACAGCCCAGAAATGGCAAAAGAAAGCACAAATATCCATCCTCTAGTGAAGCCAACACATACCTTAACGCTTTCCCTGAAAGCAGCCTCTGTTTGTTCCAGACGAATGAAAATAAGGCGGGGACCGCGCTCCCAAATTTGGGAGGTTTCACCTTTCATGACAAGCAATACGTTATATAGAAGTTTGGTCCTAATTCTCTACTTCTTTTTCCTGATGTATTTAAAGGCAAGAGATGAGGAAGCAAAGTTTTCGTTAGCTCCCACTCAGTCCATTTTTTTGCATCTGAGCACTGCATCTATACATAGCTACAGGCTAGTAGCTAATCCTTTCTATCTCTATTCTGTCCTCTTGTGGTTGCATCTGAGTA